CTGGTCCCTGGTTTCCCGAGCAAATTCCTTGTTTTATCATGTAATTCCTTGTTTTATCATGTAATAGTTTCTTGATGTTCCAAACTTGTCGTTGGTTGTAGCTCAGTTTTCACTATGAAGAAATAGCACTATGAAGAAATAGCACTTTAGAAATTAATGTCTATATTAAGAATTGATTTACCATTGAAAACAAAACACATCATGAAAATACGATTTAAATTATCTGCCCTTTATCTCTTCCAGCCTCGGTTACTTAGCTTTTCTAAGAGGAGACTCCAGAACCGCTCTGGGCAGCCTGTGCCAGTGCTCTGTCACCCTCACAGTAAAGAAGTTTCTCCTCATGTTGAGGTGGAACTTCCTATGTTCTAACTTAAACCCATTTCTTGTTCTCTTGCTGGGCTGTTATCTTGTTTTTACCATCCCTGATGATGGCAAGTAGGATCCTGTTGTGTTTCTATCCCCAGAGGACTCAGCTGGGGAAGATTCTGCTTCCTTATCATGAGTAGAGGTAAAGGTCTTGACAATAATGACAAATTTAAAAATAATGATGCACTTAAAAATGTATCATTATGTCTCAAAGCATAATTAAGTCACATTACTGTTCAAATGTCAACCTCTGCTTATTATTTAATTATAAACTTGAGGTTTAGGCTTTTTTTCCCTTGTAAAAAATGCTACCCTGCAGAACACACCTTACTCAAATGGCAACAACTAATCACCCCTGCAGAGCCTTACCTTTAGAGATAGCTAATAAAAGAAAGAATCACAAGAGCAGCCTTTGGTTTTATAAAACTGGTAGTATTAGCACTGATAATGAGCAGATGTTCCGACCATGCTTAATGTAACACTTGGTTGTTCTGTAATCACTGTTTCTCTTCATTTAGCCACCAGATAATGGGCCTCCACCATTACCAACATCTTCCCTTCCTGAAGGCTACTATGAAGAGGCAGTGCCACTTAGTCCTGGGAAGGCTCCAGAGTACATCACTTCCAGTGAGTAATGTATTTCCAGACCAGTTTCTGACAAATTGTTAATTCCAGTGTCCTTCAACTTTTTTAGTTTTTGACAGCTACATCTCCGTTAGTGCTGTGGTGATATGTCGTAAGTGTGATTCAACCATTTGGGGCTGGTTCTGATTATCCTCACGAGCCATGCATTGATTTGGTTTGCGGAACTGGTTTGGTGGGCACAAACCAGGCTCCTTTTAGAGGAAACAACCTGGAGCTTAAGTCAGGTGCACATAAACATGTTTCAGCTGCTACTGGAAATAGAGGGTCCAAATCAGCCACTGCTCTTTTGGACAACTTTGAACTATAAAGGTGGTGGGAGCATTGAACCAGAAATCCAGAGTTAAGTATTATTCAGAGTAATCCCCTCTAAAGTGGTGGTACTGTAAATGTGGATGTCTCAGAAACTGGTTCTGATCTACTGGTATGCCTCCGTCGCACTGAATCACTCACTGAAGTAGACAAAAACAAAAAAGAAACTGTTGTAAAGATGCAGTTTGCAGCATTTCTGATAACACGTTATGGAGAGGGATAAATCAATCATCCTGGCTCCCACAAGACATGTTTGATGCACATGACCATATTTTTGTGACTATACATTCAGTGCAAAAGACAGAGGCTTTCCTCCCAACTGACCCCCAGAACGTCCTTCTGCAACACACAAACGTTCTTTCTCACATCCAAATACTTATTCAAAGACCTATGCACTTAATCAGATATGCTGAGAGTGTGCTGATGAAACATTGAAATGACTGCTGTGAGCATGTACACAGGGTCAGTCAACAGGACGTTATGTACCAAAGAATTGCAAAGATTTTCCTTTTTGCTCTTTTTTTATTGACTGGGGTAATTTATTACCTGTGTATGGCTGACGTATCACTAATCATTATTTTCTATGGCTCAAAGATTAAAGGCATATCTTCCCCCATTTTATAGCCATTTTTGTTATTTGAACCAGAACAAATGAATAAAATATCTCTGATCTCAAAACATGCATAGGAATTACCTTAAAACATTATTTACTCATTTGCACGCCTCACAAACTGAGGTTATTGGGGAGCTCTTAATTTACCTGGGAGATTCAATGTAAAAAAGAGTTTCATATTCTGTAAAGCAAATGAAGGAACATACAGTCTTAGCAGAGCAGCAGAATCACTGCCCTTTTCGTTTCCTTCCTTGAAATGCTGCAGGGTGGTCCTGCTACACCCTGTAATCTGGTGAACTGCTGATTTGTGTTTTGTCATTAAACAAGAGCCATGCTCAGGCAGAAAAATATAAATAGTATGGATATTAATAGCACTGCTAAAGGATCACTTAGGGCAAAAGAAGACAAAATATGAAACTGATTTCTTACTGTACTTAACCATCCAAATCCATAAAAATATTTAGAATATCAGCGTTAAAAGTTCATTCATACAAACATTTAAAAATCTGTTAGTGTAACTTATGGTATCATTTCCTGTGGATTTTGCTGTATTTTTTTATGTCCTAGACTCCTTATCATCTCTGTTTCTGTTCTTCATAGGTGATGAAGTTACTTTCAAATTTAATATGCCATTAGTAATATATCTCCACTCAAACAAAACTTCCACTAAATCCAGTCATGTGGTAATTAAAATAAGCCACCAAAGCAGTGTATTAAAAAAAGATGTAACCTTAGCTGTTCAAATTGTTTGAGATGGAGAAGACCACAAAATAAGTGCTAAAAGTACAAGAAATGCAAAAACACCCTGTTAACTGTTGGGATAGATACCGTAGTCTTAAGTAAACATTCCTATGGAATATTTTTGTAATAGCATTAATAGCAAGGAGACTTGCATACCATGCATCCTATCTGCAAAGACTAACAGGAACTGAGGAAAATTGCAGAATATAGGACATCAAAATGCAATATCTCTAACTTCCCCAAGTTCCTGTAATCTGTTTGTAAACAAACTCTTACATATAGGTGAAAACAAGACTGTGTATGCCTTGTCTGATAACTGTCATTTTAATAAAAGCTGCTGATCTGTAGAATATACCTAAATTCTTAGAGCTATTGCAAATAATGTGAAAGTCCACTATGATTGTCACCCCTTAAGATAGGAAAATTTTGGTGAAGTTAAGGGTGAAAAGCCAATGTCAAAAGAAGCTAGAATAACCAGAAAAAGCAGAAGATGCAAAAAAAAAGGTAAATCAGCAGCATTGGAACATGTTATACCAATGCATCCTAAGTCTTTGAGTCTTGGAGCCTGAAAGCCTTGTTTTGGATGTGATTCAGCAGCTTGGAGAGACATAAAATAGAAGCAGTATGTGGCAAAGAATAGGAAAGTTTCAACCCAGATGATGTGAGTACTCCAAGGTGGTCACCCTTGGTGTGAGTCACACAGCAAACTCTTCTTCTGGCCAGGAGTCCCACAAACCAAGGAGAAGAGGAACATGAGCAGCGTAATGGGCAGGATATGGCAAAAAGTCCCCAGAGATTCCATTAGGCGGTGTGAGGATGGGAGCTGCAGAAGCTCCTGTTGCCTTTCATCCCCCTATAAACAGAGTTTTGGATGAACCTGCAGCTGCTGTGCCCACAGAGTCCCTCTGCTGATCATAGAGCTTACATCTAATGAGAAATCTGCCATTGGACTGCTTGTGAGCCACATAGGAGGGTTCCTATAGGTCATTTAACATGCAGAATTTCAATCTCTACTTTGAAGTCTCAATCAGCACTTCCAACAATTAATTTTTTTTTGAAACTGATAAAACTTACTGTAAGAAGAAAATCATGGGATTCAATGTTGCGAGGAAAAAGCAATTATTTAACCCAGTAACTTTACTGAAAAGAAGGCTAGATTGTTAGATGGGGTTTATGGTAAGAAGAAAAGCAACTTTCTTAATATACAGCAAAAAGATGATTGATAATCTTATCCAAGTTGAAACCTTCTTTTCTGCAGTGTGAAAACATTGAACCATGTCTTAAAGAGGAAGGAGAAGCAATGTGTTAAATCAGATTCATTTTTTGCATCCTTTTGATTGGTTCACTTAAAAGTGCAGATGGGGAAGGCAAATTTGATAGACTGTCCTCTGACAGGAAAGTCTTTGAGTCTGTCATGGAAACATCCCTTCTTAGTGTACACTCAATGTGTAGAAAAAATTACCCAGCTCCACTCTCTTGGGAAGCTTGTATTTGAGGAGTGTCACTCCTGTAGTCATTTTTCAGGTTGAGCTGATGAAAGTTGACCCCCAGACACTCTAACATTGAAAAGATGGTTTCTTATTTTTGAGGAAAAGTCTCATTACTAATTAAACAGAAGAATGCTACCAGAACAGTATTTCCATACCTTAGTATGTGAGTAGTGACCTCTTACTTTTGCTTCTTACCTCAAAAAAGTTTAAGTTTCACAATTACATTATTGCCAAAACTAGAACAAACTCACAAATAAGGTTAAAGAGTATTGTAGAAAGGGAGCAAACATCAAGATGAAGGCTGTGACAGTGACATAGTTGCCAAAAAGATCATTACTACATTGAAAGAAGGGATGGAAAAGTGACGGGCACATAAGTCTTACTTTTTTGAAAAGGGAAAGACAAGAGTGAAAGTTCCCATAGAGGCAGCGACTTTAGGTTATTGCAGCTTGTCCCTTAACACGTGCCCCTGGGAGAAGTCCTTCTTGAAGAAGCTGATTTAATGACTAGACCTTACATGTTCATATTTGGTAGCACCATATGAATCGTTCTGCCTCTGCTTCAAACAGGTTGACAGGCTACTGGGTGTCGGAGGCTGAGTGATGATCTCTCGGGCATCTCTTGATGTTTCTGTGTGAATTTTTTTGGATAGGCACTCCAGAAGGAGTTAGTTTGGTTTGTTTCTGGTTTTGGTGGGTTTTTGTTTAGGCTATTTTCCTCTTTCGTGGGAGGAAGAAGGAAACGATAGATGAAGCAGGAGACCATAGACATGCTTTAAACAAATCTGTAAAACTAAATACTCTAGAATAAATGTTTCCAGATATCTGAGTTTAAACTTCTACCATATTTTTTTTCCATCTTTTTCTAGATTTTTGTAAAGTGAGTGGAAAATTGTAGAGTTAGCCCACTGATAATCATCTGAGGCTTTTACCACTTGCCTGTATGGAGCTGCCCCAAACCAAACACTTCATAGCAGAACTGACCAGAAGACAGCAATTCAATAAAAAACCTAAAAAAGTTTAATTTCATTTCACTTTGGAATGAAGATACACTGTTTTGTACACTTTCACGAAAATAGATATGAGGTCAGAGTGTCTAGTCGTGATTCAGAGATGTGAGGTCTGGGTATATCCCGTTCTGACTATGCATATAGGGAATCCACTCTCTTGTCCTCTTCCCAGTTGTCCCAGGTCTCCTTCTTATATCCCAACTATGTCGTAAATACCTCGCTAAAGCAAATGAGAGATTTTTCTTCCACATTCTGGTCTAAAAATATATCAAAGTCTAATTGAAATATTTAGTTGAAATTTCAGCTGTTAAAAATACTCCAGTCAATTCTCCTTCATGGGAGCATGTGCCAGTGGCTAACAGGCATGCCTTCAAGTGCTCTTATCGAAATCAGGCATAAAACATAAATAAGTAAGTATGGATGGTGGAAGAGGGACTTCTGTGATAATGGTGAATTAATTTTGTAGTTGAGGGCTCTGCTACTGCTGACCGCACTGTTGAAAATGAAAGGCCTGAACAAAGATTGTTTACTTAAAAAGAACCTTGCCATTCCATCACCAAACTTGGAGCAGGATTAAGCTGTTTAGGTTAAGCACACAACAAAATGTTTTTTGCAGAGTGCCTTTAACTCCAGCATAATATGTAGTTCAAGGAACAGCACTGTCTGTTCAATGTTAGTTATATCAGGGTAGGTGCTGTATTTGAGAATTATATGAAATAGATTGATAGGTAGGTCGTTCCCCATAATGTACTCTTCTGACTTTTGTCATATACAGTGTTTGGTTCTTGATATGCTGTACCAATATTGACATTTCTGTGCCTACATTTTGCATTATGCAGTCGAGTATGTTTTCTGTAAAAGAATTACAAAAGATGAATGTATCTGCCACATAATATTTTGAAGATAATCAAACACTACCTAAAATTCTAGCTATGTATTCTCAACTTATTCTTTCAATTAAAATGGCCAAGATGTCAGTATGGGTCTTCTATTGGGGTTGCTGGTTAGCTTAGTTGGTTGGAGCGTGGTGCTGATAATAGCAAGGCCGCGGGTTCGATCCCCGCTCGGTTCCCGTGTGTTGCCTGATCTAGTTGAGAGGCGTCCCTGCCCATGACAGGGAGGTTGGATTAAATGATCTCTAAGGTCCCTTCCAGCCTAGGCCATTCTATGATTCTACAATAAAGTTTCGTTATGGAACAGGGTTCTCGTTCAGTTAACTTAATGTATTAGTACTACTAAGCACTAAAATAGTAATTTATCCATGGCTGATTTTCAAAAGCCTTAACTTAAAATGAACCCTTTAAGATTTTCAGTTATTTCAACATACTTCATGGCTATATGTTTTGACTTGATGTTTTTACATTTTTCATAAAGATTATGACTCAGATGCTATGAGCAGCTCTTATGAATCCTATGACGAAGAGGAGGAGGATGGAAAGGGGAAGAAAATGAGACATCAATGGCCATCTGAGGAGGCCTCTATGGATCTGGTGAAGGATGCAAAAATTTGTGCTTTCCTCCTTAGAAAGAAACGATTTGGACAATGGACCAAACTACTGTGTGTTATCAAAGAAAACAAACTACTGGTAATTTTTTATTTATCTTTTCTGTGTACCTTTTAGATGATGTATTTATTTTTACAAGAATCTGTTTTTTGAAATATATTCTGCAAACCATGGCCAAGGCTACAGTGGCCTTATCAAAGAGTTTGGTCTCCAAGAAGCAGAGAAGCACTGAAATTATAAATTTATTGTGTAGGCACTTAGAACTTCAATTTTTGTTGCGCTTTAGCTTAAACCCAGGCAGTTCCCTCATATTGGAAAGAAAATCTGCCCTATTACCTTCTAACATATTTCATTTTGAAAAAAAAAAAATGCCCAAACTGTAAATCCAATCTTTCATTCCCCATGGACCAAAAAAATCTCATAGGGAGCTTTGTGTATGAACTGTTGATTCAGACCACTGGAGAGAAAAGTCCCTTGTTAGACTGAGAATTCACTTGGCAGCATGTGCCGTGGTGATGTATATGCTTCAAACTAAACCTTTGCCATCTGTTCTGTGGTAATTACAGATGCAGTGTTCACATGATGCACAGCTGCATCATTGAAAGGAAAGAAACAAGCGGATATATTTGTTCCTTAAGCAAATCCGTTATGTTTCTTCCTGGTTGGAGGCACCAGTAAAAGATTCTGTTAAGTTAGTAAATTGTCTGCTCATAAATGTCTCTTTATTTTCTGAAAAGAGGCTAATTGAGGGAAACACTTATTCCTGTGTCATTATAAGCAAACTATATGCTTGTAGTAATAACTAAGTTGGGGTGTTAGGCACTGCCTGTTTTCCTGTCTGGTGCTTCTAACAGTTGTAACTAATTAGGTAACTAATAATTACTGCAATATTGCAAATGTTAAAAGGTGAATAACAGGTGATGGAACGTTTTCTGGAGAACCTTATTATTCTACACTGATACACTCTAGCTTTAGTGTGTTCCCTTTCCAAGTACATTTGTGCTTATGGTGGTATAGGATATAACAAAATATGAAATAGAGGTGTGTGAAATTGAGGTAAGAAGTTTCTGAAAATAGAGTTGGAATGAATTTTGTAGTTTTCAGTGGTTGCTGAGGCTTTAATTTTTGTATTCTCTATTTAAATGTTGAAAAGAATGTTCATTCAGATGCCGGTTTTATTTTATTGTTATAATGCCATTATCCTTAGTCCACATTTTTATCACCATATATCAGGATCATATCAGATTTCAGGACTGTCTGATAACACCTTGAATAAAAGAAAGAGGGAAAGAAACAGATTTGTTTCAAGTCACACACTATTTGTTCTACAGTTATGTTTGTTGTTCTATATAGAAATACGTTACTTTTTTCTATTTTCATTTCCTTTAGCCACTTGTGTGGTCTGAAAAGGATTTTTTTTTTCACTTAGAGATTGTCTTTCAGTAATTCTGTAATTGGGATTAACAAAATGAAAAATCACAATAGGAGTCTAACGACCAAGTTACACAAGATTGGTTTATTGTTTGAAGGAGGATTTAGACATTCAGCTTATGAAATATTCAAGTAAAACAAATAAATGTGCTTAGGGATTAGCAATTGCTTGTGTTATAAATGCAGCTGTCATCATAAAACCAAAATATTTTAATTAGTATTAGACATTAGAAATAACTTCTAGTAGGGAATCTTTTTTGACTTGAAGTCCTTTAATATATAAATATTTCAGGTTTAATAATGTATAATTCTAAGTAAAATATTTAAATTAATATAGAGGGAATTATATGCTGCTTATTGATTCCTAAAATGGCTAATGTTATATGTTTTCAAGATTTCATAGGCTGAAAACTTAATATTTTTTTAATGTTATAAACTTAAAATCTGTGACCAAGCTAGAGTTAATGGGCTTTGGAGAGAGGAGGTTTAAGAGCGATTTCCAGAGGCTGGTTTAGAGTGGCTGTATTTGCTCAGCCTAAGTTGTAGTGTTTATAACACACTTTTAACAGCTACTGTCTTCCCGACAGTTGCATCATGACATGAATGCTACTGCAGACATGCAAAAATTCGTGTGCTTTTCTCTGTTCACATTTATACTCAGCTATTCTGTGTATGCAGATACTAATGAGTCTTCTTTATTAACAGATGCATTTTTTTATTTGCAGGTTCCTCTTTGTTATCAGATACCTTTTTAGCCTTTGTGCTTATTCGTATAAGTGAAAGCCTAATTTACATAAGTATATAAACCAACTCAACATTCATATACACAATGACACATGGTTCTGTAGTCTGGCTCTATGACAGCTTTAGGACCCTCAGCTGTACTGATGTGTTGGAAGGTGGGAATAAAGACTAGGTCTATAGGAGACATGATGTAATGTGGAGCCCATCATCTTTAGATCACCAGTTCAGACATGGAGCAGGTCATCATCAGTGATCTGGCATGAATGAGTGTTCATTTACTAATGAGGGAAAAAGGCATTGGGTAAGTCGTGCATTTTTAGTCAGGAGCTTACAAAGTAAGCTGACTTGGAGATTTATGCAGTTTTGTGCAGTTGTATTGGCTGAAAAAGTGGGACTTTGCCCCGCTTCCACACTGTGACTTTTTTTTTTATTTAGCTCAAGAAAAAAGAAAGCTGGGTAAGACATATGCCAGTGTCTTTGCAGCTGTAGCGTGTAGGCACTGGTATCGATTTGCCTTGATACACTGGGCTGTTGCTGGCAGGCAGGGTAACCAGTCATTAGCTATGCAAGTTTGTGTTGCTGCTACGTGTGAACAGATATCCCAAATCACCCTCTTCCTACCTGATCACAGTCAAGGTTGAGTTATAAGGATAATACAGAGAAGCTTAATGCTCTCCTTATGTTCTGTCTGTCCTGCGATAAAAGATTTCTGTTAGCGTCAATCTGGAAGTGATTTTTCGTTACAGAGGAGATGAGGAGAAATGCAAAGCTGACATTGAGTGAACTCTGTGGTATGTGATGAAGGGGTGCATGAAAAGTAGTAAAAATTAAAAAATTGCATTTCTATATAACAACAGCTTTCCCATAAGGCTCAAAAAGGTGATACCTAACTTCTGAATTTCTCTTGTGTTTACTTAGTGTTACAAAAGTTCCAAGGACCAGCAACCCCAGATGGAGCTGCTCCTGAATGACTGCAGCATCACGTACATTCCCAAAGACAGCAAAAAGAAGAAGCATGAGCTGAAAATCTCGCACCAAGGAGCGGATGCCCTGGTTCTGGCAGTGCAGAGCAAAGAGCAGGCGGAACAGTGGCTAAAGGTAAGGGGGGGATTTCTGACCGGGAACTTTCCCACCCACAAAGAGCCATTGCCTGCTCAGTTGCTGTTAAAAACTGAGATACAGACAGCAACTTTCAGGCAAATTCAGACCGTCTAAATTGGGACTGCAGAAACACAGACTTAATGTTCAGGCCTCAAAGCAATCAGCAATCAATGCAATCAAAGCAATGGGCAGTCAGCAGCCCAGCATTAAGGAGAATTTTCACTGGTTTTCTCTGAAAATTGCACAATAATCTGGCACTGAGAGGAGAGGTGGCTAATTCACTTCTGTCTTCATCTCCAGCTCATTTTCCAGAAGGCTTTGGTGGTTAGGGCATGCTGGTAGCAAACTGAAAGTTCAAACGCGCTGTCAGCCAGGTTGCTTTTTGGTGTATCTGCATAGCTGCCATAGGCTACCCTGCAAAAATTGGGATACCAACATCACAGTCACTTTTTTTAGAAAGGAGGATCTCTGAGGAGATACCTGTTGGAATTGCTCTGGGTGGAGACAAATCCTTCAGCTTCCTAAAGTCAGATCAAGTTTGCTACTCCTGGTTTAGCAACGCGTCATCTGTTATGGTTTGCTCTGGGACTGCAGAATTCTGAGAAATGGGATTTTGTCATCTTCCACTCCTCTCTGTTCAGTGTCTTCAAATGTGGAAATTCCCCATGAAAGGGCTGCAGCTTTAGATCCTAACCAGATTACTAGTATTTATTGTGGACTTTGCCAGTCTCAAATGTGGAGGCCAGTGAAGCAGTGTGGGAAACTATCATGCAGTTTCAGTAACTTGTTTTAAGACCTTGAAATTCAGCTTTTTTAAGACTCATCAAGCATTCTCCATGCTGTGCTTTCTTCGAACCTTATATGGTACTTAGTTTTTCTAAGAATAAATTGTATTTTTCCAAATACAATTGAATTAAATGGTGGAATTTCCTGATGGCAGATAGTTCTTTTGCAGAAGAGGGAGACATAAAATGCAGCTTAAGACGTATCACTTCTGCTGTGGGCTAATTTACTAAACGGAAAATTAACCTCTAATTTTCTGTTGTGCAATATTTGAATGTATCTTTGGGGACAGTTGCAACTTGTATGTGTGCGTGTTTGATTATGACTGCAAATATGTACCTTAGCTTAGAAAATGCACTCTTTGTTGTCTTTTGAATAGAAACTAATCATAGCCATGGATTTGTTAGGCTTCTTCTAACACCAGTATCTTGGTTTATGTTTTAAATCTACCACCCATCCAAGTGTCCCACTAACTCACCTAGAGTTTCAAAAACACTAATTGGAATGGAAAAAAATTCATAAGTCATGTTCTGTTCCAAGGGAATTCTGCTGTAATTAGGTCATAGTAACTGCACCATTATTTCCTGTGTTGTTCTAAACTTGAGTTTAGTAACGCTGAATTCATTGGCATTTATCAGACTTGCTTTCATAAAAATTTTTGTGTTTTTTTGTTTTTCAAAATTGTACATAAAGTCTTCCCCACACAGGCAGACAGAGTGGTGCTAATGTTTCCATATCCTGCTACTTAAAAAAAAAAGAAAAAGAAAAAGATTTTGTAAGGTTGCATGTTAACCAAGTTGAGCATGCCGAGGGTGAATGGCCAGACAGTATTTTATCTGCAAAGCATTTGGAGACAGTCTGACAGCAATTTATTTAGTTCCTTCATGCTGCAAATCTCTCTATTAATAAAAACCCTTTTATGTACATGGCAGCGCTACTTTACACTCAACTTGCAGTCCTCAGAGCTGCTGCTGCATTCTGTTCCTTGTAGTACAAGTTACCTATACAACCTCTAATCAAAAATGGTTTGTTCAGTTTTTGCAACAGCTCCAATGTTTCCAAGAAATATATTTTTTGAGGAAAAAAAAGGCGCAACAAACATTGGGGTTTTGTATTTTAAAAATGAAGAAATTTTTTTTTAATTATTACAAAAATAATTATTTTTCATTCATTCAAGCTGTATTTAAAATAAGCTTCTGAAAATTGTGTGTGGCTTTATGCAGGAAGTTCCTATACTGAGGACAGGATTACTGATCTGTCTTGGGAGAAGCAGTCTGAGCTTTCCCTGCCTGTCAGTCACAGGACCAGGGTCCTCTGCCACGCTCTACTACATATGACTGATTTCTGTAGTTAATAAACTGGGCAGACTGACAATGAGAAAGGTCTCTGCAACCACATTTTTAGATCATAAGATGCCTTTTTTGTCAAAGATACTGGACCAATATGTGCCAGTGGAGCCAGGTTATCACTTAGGAACACTGGGTTCTCTGAAAAGCTCAAAATTGCTTAGGAGGCCAGATTTTCCTATGGAAGCTAAACCAGATGACTTTTTTAAGGTCAGCTGTAATCTGTATCAAATATGTTTACTTAAGCAAATGATTTTAAACTATCTATTGGAAGATAAGTGCAAAATAAATGCAAAATTTTTAGACCCTTTTTGTAAAGATGATACCCAAAAGCCCCCAGCTGATAAACCTAGTGCAAATTGAAGTCTAGACTGGAAACTACAAAGGGAGTTTCAGTTTTACTAGCTAACAAATGCTTGATGAAAAAAGATAGCTGATGTCACCAAAGAGCCTGTCAAGATTTCAGAGCAAGGAGTGTAGCTAGTATGAATTCAGGCTAGAGCTGAGATCATAGCAGTAATATGGCGGGTGGTGGAATTTTCCAGACATGAGTGCTAAAATGATCCCACAAAAATGTACATGAAAAAATGTGTGCAGTTACACACTCTGACCCAAAAATGAGCTTTTTCCATGCACGCTTGAGTATATGTGCATCTGTGTGTGCCTTTGTGCGTTTGTGGTCAAGTAAAGTCTTAAATCTGCCTGTTTGTCTCAGTCCATCCAACGGACTGGTGAGACTACACTGTTTTGTCAGCATGTCTGGGAAATGATACATGAAAAATAAAAAGACTGGTAAGAACACGACATTACAAGAAGATGCTTGTTTAGTGGCTGCATTCATACAGATGAATGAGTTCTGTGTGCAGGACCTTCAAGCTACGCCACAGAAAACTGTTCTTAATATTAAAAATACATGGATGCCAAAGAAATTAAGTTCTGTAGTAACCTGTTGTAGAAGACCAGTAGGGGATGGAAATGGTCATGGCGTCTCATCCCAAGGCCTTCTCTTCCTCTTAGCATCGCCTCCTGCAAAAATGTATTTCTGATTTATCGTGCATGAGAATTAATCTATAATTTTGGAGTACTGGCCTTGATTTTCTTCTTTATCTAATGTTAGGCGCTTTTTGTTGACTTTTCTTTTTACAGAGTGCAGCCATTCTGCAGAAGTCTCTTCAGCTGAGAGTCTTTCAGGCATTAGTAGACATTTGTGCATCTATCATTTTGACAATGTTCAGTCAGTTCTGAACTTGTTGTAGTAAGTGGGATTTTTGCCCTGGAAAACGAGGAAAATCAAGGTTGTGACTGTATCCAGTCATCCAGGGACCCTGAAAGACTCCTCATAGGGCTGTTAATCCAGTTGTCCTACCCTGTTTCTATCTCTGATAACTGCATGTAGTCTCTTGTAAAACTCTTAAAACATCTTTTTATTCATCGCCCTGGGCTTAGTGGGAGGAGTCAAGTATCTTCTGGGCTCCGATCTTAGCATGGATTGAGTTTTACTAAAGAGTAAACTACTGACAGAGCTCTTTCTTCCTAGTTTAAATCAACACAAAACTGAGCTTTGAAGTGTAAACACTGTGTGGTTGGGTTTACTTTCTATGGGAATTTGCAGGTTGAGATCTCAAAACACTTCAAACATTACTTTCTTGGCTTAAGTAGCGTTCCCCAAAGAGGTTATTATCTCCATTTTGTTGCTGAGTAAAATGCTGAATGATCGTGCCTTAAAATTGACTGGAAAAATTGTGCTTGAGGGTGCGTACTCGGTACAAGTGATTTGCGTATAATGTTTGTTAGTTTATAAGTAGCTTCAGGAACATACCGTGTCCCAAGACATTTGGGCTGGGTTCATTCTCCACTGCAGATCATCACCAGCAGTGAAGGCTTTCCAAACTGCATTAAACTTCCCAGGAGGATTAATAGGACAATCGGACACCCTTGTCATCGCAAAGGGATGGGTTCAGGTACCTTGGTACAAGTCAAAGCAAGTTCAGTATGTTTGCATAAGTGTTATTTAGGGCCTAACCTGGAGATACGACAGACCAAGCTGCGTGTGAGAGCTTTGCCCAGGCTGCTGGGCTGCTGCCAGCGTGCTCTGACAGAGCCAGGGGACACCGGCATGGCTGTGAACGGGAGGGTGTTTGTGTGACTGGCACCACAGAAAACAATATGTTATTTAAAAAAACAGATCTGTATGTACATTAAAAAAAACACTGTCACAACTACCAGTAAATAAAAGAGTTTTCTTTAGCTTCTTGGCTAAAATCACAAATAAGGCTGTAGCAGATCTTGCATCAGAACCCAGGAAGGTTGAGACTTGGTCCCAAGTTTTCCCCACTAGGTAGAATTTCTTCTCTCCCCTCCTCGCAGCTTTGGATGGAAAATTATTTAAATCATACCTACTTCAGATGTATGGTCTCACAAGGGGTCTGCAGCTCTGCACTGCCCAGGCTGGGGATGCAGTTCCCCTTGCACAAGGCACCTCTGCCCTTGCAGCAGCAATGCCTCCAGCTGCCCTCCCCAGCCACCCAAGCACCTCCTTCCCTGGGCTCTCCCTGATCCAGTGGCCATATATGGGAATAATACAGGAGAAATGATACAGAGGTTGTCTTGGTTGAATATGTCAGAAAAGTATTTTTAAGGGGATGTACAGGCACTAAAGATAGGCTTGCTGGCTGTTGGTCTGCTAGAATCTCATTCCCACTTTGCTCTGACAGACCAGAATAAGGCAGAAAGGTGAATCTTTGCAGGCTAGGCAATACCTGAGAATGATATTTTCCAGTACAGAAGATAAAGGAGGTTTCATTTTGAGATTTGAAGCATTGCCTATGGTGTAAATAATTTCTGCTTTTCCTCTGATTTGTGCAGGTAAACTTCTTGGGGCATTTCTTCTGTGCAAAATGCTAAAAGAGTTTTGGTACTCTCTTAATGAGGAGGAGATTGATATTAACATGTAGCGTGTAAGGGTCCAATAGAATTTAGTCATGCCAAAATGACGGAGAGCCCCAGAACATCAGTACTTCTCCAGCACTGAAAAAGGAGTGTTTCAGGAATGAACAATACTGAGTTACATCTGGAGCCAAACCCTTTTCCCTCTGCTGTGTTTTGCATAAGCAGATAAGCTTTACCATATTCCTATCTTCAGGGTTAAGCAGCAGAGACGGGGGGCCGTTTCTAGCAATTCCCGTGTTTGTGAAACATGTGAGTAGATGAGAATGAGGGGGTGGCTTGGCTGGATGGATTTCTAGCCTGGTTATGTATGGAAGTGAATAAAGTGTGCAGTCTGGCCATCAGCTTTCTTCCTAATCTCTTTGGAACTCGATCGTATTAAAAGTGTGAGCTTCTCCTATGACTTTCATGAAAACATGAGATGAGATGAGATGAGATGAGATGAGATGAGATGAGATGAGATGAGATGAGATGAGATGAGATGAGATGAGATGAGATGAGATGAGACGCTGTGATTGCATCCCTGTGGTAAGCACAGTCTGTGGCCTGAACTCATCCCACAGTATCCACCAGGACAGAGGTCTCCAAGCTCCTCAAATGCAGGATGACCGTCAGTCTTATTCCTTATCAAGTCCCAAAGAGATCAACCACAAGGAATCAGTACTTTAGCTCAGGATCTCAGGATTTTTTAGTTTTCTCTCTGGCAGCATATGGCTGGCAAGCAGCTGGCTTTCTGGTTTTACTGCATAGCCTGTGCTTTTCATCTGAAGTGCAGACCTTTAAAGGTAGCTGTGAAAATCTAATTTAATTCTTATGACTTAGCGTGTACAAAGAATAAATGCCGGGCAAGTATTTTGCCTCCAGTCCTGCTGTGTAATTTAGAATAAGACACAAGAATTACAGAAATTTGTACGTGAGTGGAGGTATGAAAGTTTCATAGTAAATGTTAATGCTTGTGTAGTAAGGTAGTTTTAAAGATAAGTGTTCCAGACACACCAGAAATTCCACTGACTTCACCCGTCATTGCCAGTGCCTCGGGGCAGGGAATCTTTCCAGTTTTCTACGTGCAAATATTTCCCCTCTATTCCTCGTGTCACTGCACTCAGTGCAACACACCGGTGTATGTCCTGATGCAGCTGGAGATCCAAGACTTTTCTATAACATACCTAAGGAATAATGTATTTCAGACTGCACAAGCCTTCTCCAGGTCTGCACTTGAAAGAGGTAGTTCTGCAGTCTGCTAATTGTAACATTGTGGTGGAAATTGTGGTGTTTGTAATGCTTGCCGTTGAGTAACAGAAGATTATCTTGAATGTATTTAGTTTTGTGGATATCCAAAGATCTGAAGGGTCTTCAGTTTTCTGATTGCATTTGCTCATATATTCTAAATATTTGAATACATACTTTGTTTGTGGTCTCAGTTTGATTTTCCTGTGTGTGTATGTAATGTGCAGAGGCATTTGTGGTGAGAAGGGAATGATTTCCCTTCTCTAATGTGTGAGAAAACTTAAACTATTAGTGGAGTATGTGCCATTACAAAGTATTCTTAGTATAGCCTTCCGGATTATGCTGTTTTGTTAAAAATAAAACATTCGAGGATTTCTTGTATTTGCTTTCTTAGTTTTGGAGCCATTGAGAGACATTTATTCATATTTTCACACGTTTCATTGCAATGGATAAAAGTTTACTGACCTCCTTTCCCCACTCTAAATCACAAATAATTTTAATTGAAAATAGTGTTCTTTTGTTTTGATATGTCTCCAGGAGATGAGACATAGAAAAAAATGACAAGATTCAGTCTTGTGATTGAAATTATGCAAGTTGGCAACACTGGTGGAATCTTTTATCCTTAAAATTTTAAGTTAAAGCTATAAGCATGTGAAAACCATGTTTATAATGGCAGCTCTCTGCAAACTTAATTACAGAGAGTGCATCCAGGCAACCATTGTACATTAAAGGCATTTCATCCTAGTGAGCTGTAGAAATATGAGTTTTATGCTGTGCATCAAACACAATTATTTTGCAGACAGGTGATGAGCAAGTCTTTGCCAGTGAACCCCTTGAACCCAAATGAAGTGCTGGATCCTTGAATATGCATTTACTTCAGATCTTGCCATGAGCTTTCGTTTTATTTTTTTTAATCAAAATTTAATTACAACCCAACTAAACACTTTAACTACTCCTTAAATATGTGAGGTATGATAAGAAACGGATTTACTTGAGTGCATGACTTTGCACATACTATTCAGTTAGTGCTGCCAAATCATTTCCCTCTGTTCTGTCTGTAACTCCCATTACTATCTGCCTTTGCCAAAATTAACTAACTGTGTGGTGTGAGCAGATGCTGAAAACATGAACCATTGAATCAGGGTCATGCAGGAGACAGAAATGAATGTTCCCAGAAATTGTACAGTCACATTAGGAGGAAAACAGCAGTGTACTTACACCATACTGAGGATCAGCAATTGAAAATAAAACAACACACATAAAAAAATCTTACGATTTTGGGGAATTTAGAGCTACGTTTAACTCTGAGGTGCAAATGCTTTGCAGCAGATGTACCTAAATTTTCTGTTACAGAGGGCACCAAGTGCCATGAAATACTGTGCTTATGATTCTGGGACAAGGAAGTTCACATGGCCAAGGAAGGACACTGAAGGATTTTAATATACTATTTCGGAAATAAAAGTGTATGTTTATTTCTCTGCTCTGCTTAATTTTTTTTTATGTGGCGTTGAGTGATTTAATCCTTCTTTTGTTCCTGAGTTCTCCACCTGTAAAATGGGGATGATGCTCTTTCTTTTTTATGGCATATAATGCCTGTAATTTATGATGTACTCTTGAGTTGTAGCAATAGGGTCGTTGTAAGCCCATAAATATTTGGGTTTTTAGCTTTACCCTTAAAGGAAACTTCAGTGCTGTGAAAGGACAATCTGGTGCCATTTTTAATTCTTCAACAGCTTCCACATGAACTGTGTTCAGTTCGGAACTAAAAAGATACTGTTGTTTTACTTTTCCTCTCCTTGAAAGAAATCTAGATTTTGACAGTTAGCGAATGGCTGTTTTCCCCGGAACTGGGAGTTCTCAGGGCAGATCCTCCTCTCTCAGCCAGGCTTGCTCTGAACAGTGTAAAGGGAGGAGCTGGATATGTAAACATACACATTTATATGTAAAGAGGAAAGTTTGCCTGTCTAGTGATCATGCTTCCAGCGGAGTAGGATGCCTTCCTTTCTTAGCTCACTTGGCTCTGCCATCCTTGCATGGCTGTAATCAGCAATGTAGAGCTCAGCACTCCCTCAGCATGAGTGTGGATGGAGAGTCAGGACCTGCTCTTATCAGCATAAGAAGTTTCAGACTGATAATAGGCTGGCAGTTACCTCCCAAGAGACAGAAAACTTAATTATGTTCACAGGGAATCATCAAATGCCTTAACTCATCACATATTTTTACATTTTTATAGTTTCAGGGTTTTAAGTTCCTCAAATTCTATACAAAAAAATCTCAGTGAGTTCCCAGTTCTAGATTTCTTACATTTTTTAAAAGCAGGTGATGCCATTCCCATTTCCTACAAACAGTTAATTTGACCTATACCTTTATGTCAGTGTGCAAGTATAATACAGAAATGCCGCGAAATACCACTCTACAGCAGTAACAATAAGTCAATCAGCATTCTGTTAGTTCTCCAGCAACAAAAAAAGATAATCTGGGTAGTGTATTGTGCAAAATTTTTGTCCTTTGACTTGCGGGACCTTGGATTTAATCCTACTTTTTCCGTCATCGTAATGAAATTAATTCGGTGGTGTCAGCTGAGTTTATATTGCAAAGCTAGCATGTGGAAAGCAGCAGTGCTGTTGATTTCTTTACTCAGGAGAGCCTTGGAGCTCCGCTTGTCTAGAAACTGAAACCTTCCAGCTCCAGACATCATGTCTCCTCCAAGTCACAAGTGAAATGACTTGGGGAGGCAGCGTGGAGAAGTTGGTGTAGTGGCAGCCTGCCTGACACCTGCCAGCCTAGTCAATGTCTGTGTGATTCTCCTTCTCATCTCCATATATAATTTCTCTGATTTATATTTTATGAATAATTAATGAGTTTTGCCCTGTCTCCTAAGGTTATAAAGGATGTGTGCAGCAACTGCACGGGAGCTGTAGACTCTGATGGGCCATTGTCTAGTTCTCCAGTTCACAAGACGGAGCTGGAAAAGGTAAAAGTTATCAAAATGATGAATTCAACATTCCTTATGATTACTATGAGGCACCACTAGACTCTGAGTTTAAATACTTGCTGACTTGTGCTGCTGTTTTAGAATTTTAGTCCCTATGTTGTTTTTGTGTGTTTGTGCACACACCCTGCAGAGCTCAGGCTTCTGCCACGGCTGTTCATTGGGTCACCAACAGCCAGCAGGCTGGCTCATGTCCATCAGCAGCTTCTCTTGCCCCATGCAGAAGGGCACAGGCTAAGCAGGTCTGATGTGTGTGCTGAGATGCAGGCATGTTCTCTGTGAAATGCAAAGAGCAAGCAGGGATGTGACTCTCAGGGAAAAGAATCTGAAGATTATACAAAAACTTTAAGAGAAAGTCTTTTGTTTGGGAGAATTTAGTTCTCCTGAAGAGCTCCCTGGGCATGCTGAGGTCACTTTTTGGCAGACCCTTTCAAGCATTTGTGCCTCAATAGAGAAGCTTGGCTATTCACACGTGGTTGTCTTTGCTGCCTTGACTCAGCAGGATATGAGAGCAAAAATTAGGAGAGGGAACAGCTCTGAAGTGAATGAGCAGCAAATTAATAGCATCGATTTAAGTCCCTGCTCTTTTAAGGCATCTTTAAAGTCTCACTGACAAAGTTTTTGTGACCAAGTTCCTGGTGTCAATTCTACCCTTGCGGTGGAAGGATGATGCTGTCAGTCATGTTCTGTCGCTTTGCACTTGGGAAACTTAAGAGCAAAGCATGTTCCATGACAGCTCAGACCTCCTGATTTCACAAGCGTGTGTTTGCATGCTTGCACACACCTGCACAGTATTAACTGAAAGTGTCATAAAATAGTGGTTTTCTAAAATGCACGCCATAAAAAAGGGCTGCAAAACATCTCATCTAGTTTTTTTGTGTGATAATCTGTACCATCTTTGTCGCTTCACCACTTGTGAGTACTGTCATTGCCAAAACCATGCTGGCATAAGCTCTATACTGCTTCATCTCACATCTCATGCACAAGCATTTTAGAGTAATCAGTGCTAAGAATTTATTTCAAAAGCCTTTTTTTGCACATACTAGAATTATTAAAGCACCTTACCGGAATGCATTATTTTCTGATCAGTTGTAATTGTAATTGCATATACGAAGTATTATTTAAAGAAATAATTTTTTAATTATTTGTCTCATACATGTAAATGTTCACTCATGACCCTTCGTTTGGCAAAGGTGCCAACACTGTATGTCAACTAATCTCTTTCTCCCTGCAGAAGTTGTCCTCTGAGAGGCCAAGCTCAGATGGCGAGGGTGCTGTAGAAAATGGCATCGCTACTGTGTGCAATGGGAAAGAACAAGGTATGTCTCAGTTCCAGAGATGCTTGGTGTGAATAATATGTGCATATAGGGAGTGATAGGTAGTGAGATATCTGGCTTTTGTCTCTTAAAAATAGGCAGTGAAGTTTTTAAATATTTTTGTTATGATTCAGTTTAACTTGAAAGCTGAACAATGTCAAGAGCAAATCCTTAAAATTTTGTGCTAACAGAAGACATTTGATGTTATCGTGCAGGTAAAATCAGTACAGTTAGTATAAGAAACAGAATATAGGCATTTTGACTTGGCCTTTTGTGTGTTCAAAAGTACAGTTTTTCAGAGCTTAGATGACCACTATAAGCAACTAACAGTTGCTTTAGTGAGTGTAAATGTATAGTAGCAACATAAGTAGTGGGTGTATAGTTTCTAAAGCATATTATATATGTATGCATACATATATATATGTGTGCGTATGTAATACATACATATGTTCATATGCACATGTAAGCAAAGTTTATAGGTATGTGAGGATATGCAGTTACATATATATAAATTATTATGTATGATATTAACACATTTTTTATATATATATATATATATGTATATAATTTTACACGTGCTACTTTGGGGTCATGCATGTTTTGTAGTCATTATAATCTAACAAAGGCAAATCTCAAACCCAGAGGGAATTTCATCTAAAACATTCAAACTCTATGCTCTCTTCCCCATCCCTTTCCCTCCTTCTCAAAGCAGAAGAAATTCTATGACTTGGTTAACTTGCCATGGAGCAAGAGTATCGTTTAGATAAGACATTTTTTTTGCAGCTGTCAAGATGAAGGGTAATGTGAGCTGCAGCGAGCACCGTGTCAATACTGGCCTTGGTGCCGGCACTGTCTCGCCTTTTGACTCATTTCCTTAATCTTCTCCCTGGGTTGTTTTCCAACATTTCCTGACTATACAGATCTCTGACATACCCAACAGTATGGAACAATGTCAGGTTTTGTGGTTTCTAAAAGTTGTGGTACATGGTTAGATTTCACCCTGTAAGGTCTTCTACTGAGCTTTCAAAAAGCGCGGTACTGTGTTACCCTCTGAAACCTCTTGAGAAATTTCTGTGACCCAAAAGCTGTGTTGTCCATGATATCCAAAAGTGCTGGCTGGCTCAGGTGCCCCATGAGCAGCTTGCTGATGGACCATGTGCTGCTGCAAAGCCAGCCTGGCTTAGATGCACCAGGGAGAGTAATTAGAAATAGTGGTTGCTTTAGAAAACTGTGACCTTCACCATGTAGAAATAAAAAATAATCAACGTTATTGACTGCAAGGAGATTAAAATTTCCCTGGCATAATTTTAAGGGGTTCTGGATGAAGCTACATTATTTTTTTAAACAATCGGTAGGAAATGCTTAAGGGATGGAGTACTTGGGAAGGGGTGAGAGCAGTCATGTCCAGCCAGCACCCACTGGCCAGCCTCTGCTCTGCTCTTAACCTGCTGCTCATTTGGCTGGGGGCAAGGAAATGAGAAGAAAAGGCTTTTGTGAAAAAAGTCTTTGGCGGTCAGGCAATCAGTATATTCTTTAGAATAGAAGAGATTAAGTCAGGAAGGTCTTATTTCTCTTGCCTCTCAGTTCTACAGGAGAATAAAACAGCAGTATGAAGGGAAGAAAGGACAGAAAAAAACCCCACACTGAAACAAGCTGTTGGTTCACTGTTGTAAGAGTATCTCAGAGAGATGAGCTTTTCAGGTGGCCTTCCTTGAACATGGGAACTCCTTGCATGTTTAGAGATCACAGTATCAGTTGTGAACACCCTTTCGTTGCAAAGAGGGAACTATATATCACCATGTTGGGGTTTGCTGGTGAGCAGCTGTGCCCCCCCAAAAAGCAGCCTTTCCCCCTCAGCACCACCTGCAGCAGGTGACAGGTTTGTACAGTCTTGGCTACAGATACCATTTCTATGTTAGATGATTCCTAATGATTTAACTAAGTATGATAAGTTATCCCATTGTGATTCCCAAATTGCTTCTCTCTTTTCCTTGCATTCTTCTTCCCAGTTCATCAATTCATATAGTCATTTCTTATATGAACATCTTGTCCTTTTTTTCCCTCAGTTTAAACAAGCCCATAACCACGAAATTTTCCTTGTTGCAAACGAAATTGATATATCAGGGATAAAGTTAGAGCAGCTCAATCAGTAACAATTCTAAATGTATTTTACATCAGAATCATGTATCAGGGTGAGCTGATGAATATTTTTGCTGCCCTGTCAGTTAGTAGCGAGGCTTTTGTTGTGTTGATGGAATCCAAATCAGGCCATTGAATGCAATTTCAAAAACTTTGTTTGTTCTGTTTTGCAAATTAAAGGTCCTTTTTTTCTGATTCTGTTTAATCTTAGAAACTTTGATTTTTAATTTGTTGGGTTTTAGTCAGGTAGGTGCTTTTAAAAATGGTGTCCATAGTTTTTGCCACATTCAGCAGCTCAACATGCCTCAGTGCACAAAGCCTTAGTACTAATGGTATCATATTAAGTTAATGGAAGCATAGACTGGATTTTAACAAAATATCTCTTTTCAACAGAACTTTCTCTTTCCAAGCCTTCATGATTACAAAAAGTACCTTCTAACCATTGAATGCCTATACTGATCCCATTCATTTAATTGTTCATCGTTAGTTTATAAGTCTTGTCTTTCTAAAAGGTCCATTGTGACAAGATACCTGATTGTCCAGGGCAGGAGTATTTCTGCTAGGCAAGCATATTCTGTCTTTGTTGTGTGTTTAATTATTGAAGTATTTTGAGGTAAATGTTTAGGAACAATATAGAATCATCTTGCTGGATTTTTTTTCATGTGTATATGAACTAAATTTATATGCAGGTGTCTCAGCTGTACTGATAAATTAGATGATAACTGTTGTGGAACGAGACTTTCAGCCTGATTAGATTAAATTAAGTTAGAAGTTTGTTGTTTGTTTTTTGTTTTTCTTAGCATTCTGAATGCCATGATTTTTATAGCACGGAGGTTATTTTGAGGCATCTGCATTAGAGAAAGCATGTAATGGTTATCTCATTGCAGTTTGCAACTTTTGTAAAAATGTTCACCTTGCACAGCATTGCTTGTTACGGACTACTATTTTTATCAAAGTTTTCTCTATTCATTGGTTAATTTAAACACACTGAAATACACATTTTTGTTTTCTTAATAGTGAAGAGGAAAAAAAGTTCAAAATCAGAAACCAAGGGCACTGTGACTAAAGTAACAGGGAAAAAAATAACGAAGATCATTGGTTTAGGAAAGAAGAAGCCATCAACAGATGAACAGACCTCATCAGCTGAAGAAGATGTTCCAACATGTGGTAAGTGATTTTTCTCCTTGAAGTCTTAACATTGCAACTAGGATTTCATAAAATTCTAGCCTAGAAATTCCTCTAAAATTGCTTTTATTGCTATAATTCTACCTCCAACATCAGAAGGATACGCTCAAACTGAAGAGTAATCAAGAGCTTCTCACTTGAAAAGAAACCTAAAGAACTCTGCTCTTTGCAGAGTTGAGGGGAAGAGAAGTGGGGGCAAAAAGGAGAAATAAACATATGTTTTCAAACAAATGGATATAAAAGGAATATTGGCTAGACTGTGAAACAATTTAGGCTATGAATTAGGAGAAGATTCTTGGGAAGGAAACAAGTCCTTTATGAGGGATCGTGGTGAGGTTTTATGGGATAGAAATCATGACAGCTGTTGACTGGCCTCAGCCAAAGTGATTTGAGTTTAATTATGCGTTGGTGAAGTGGTACACATTGGGCAAAATCTGAATGAAGTAACAAATTTCTAGTAAGCTATTTTAGCTCCAAATATTGATCATCCCACATGGCAGCTGTAGTGCTTGGCAACACCATGGAAGTACATAAAAGTCATGCAGAAAATGCTTATGTTTTGTACCTTAGCTGTTAATGTTTGCTCACAGTGTAGAGCTCTGTACAGTGCACTTAGCTCATGTTCTCACATCTCTGTTATTTTCAGATAAAGCAAATAATACATTCTCCTGTTTGCCTTTTGTTGCTCCAGTATTAAGTAACACTTCTGTACGTGAATAAGGTTGAATCCACACAATCCCTGACATAAAAAAAAATAAACCTATAGAGAGAAAGCTGTGAAGCAGTTACACTGGATTCTGAATTTGGGTTTGCCTTTTCCCTTTTAATTGACTGGAAAAACGTTGGGAAACCCAAAAGTCTGTGATTAGGCAGCAGTTGGCAGAGCTCATCAGTCCATGAAATGTGGTAGGTGAAAGTGTGAAAGAAGCAGATCCTTGGACCACCAACGAGAGCTTCAGAGATCACAGGTGGCTCTCAAGCTACAGTTTGGGAGTCATTCACATCAGCAATCTCTGATTAAATAAGTGTATGCATGTATGTCTATACATCAGCTAAGTACAGATGTGATTTATCAACCAAAAGAACAGCTGGGAAAAGCTGTGTCCAACCAGATGCATTGTCCGAAGCATCTGGCTTCCATAAAAGCTCAAACTTCCGGGGTTTCATGCTTCGTTGATTATTCTGTATTATGTGAGACATTAACCAGAGCTGTACAATCTTAATTCCTAGTATTTCTATCATTATTTCAGATATGGGCATAAATACAGCCTTACTGTTGCCTGCATTTGGCTCCACTCAACACCACTTGCAGATTTTATAGGAAAATGTAGAAGTGTCTAGGCTTTGGTCACTGCAGGAAGTCTTTGCAGGAGTTTCTCACCACCAGAAACTTGGCTCAGTTCAATGGCCTCTGGGAGGCTGCTCCATAGTTGAAGACTTTTACTACTTTAGAAGACTCTACCTCCCATGAAAAAAGGGAAAAGCCCACTGGGGCTGTAGGGGACACTCAGTTGGAGTGGAAAGTAAAACTGACCAGCACTTAGAGGCACAGCAAGGTTTTTCCCTACAGTATCACTGGTCTTTTGACAGCCCAGGCTACGCTGAAGTGCTAATGCCCTGACTGGGAACACCATCAAGGCGGTTTGTTCGTGTTAGCTGTTGAAGGCTTAAGCGGGGATATGTGGGAGGAAGAGCATGGGATCCTGCTTAGTTCAACTGAAGTAGGAGGGTTTGGAAGAGCTTTTCTGAGAGATGCGTTGGGAGCAGAGGGGAAAACCAAGCACTGTCTGAGAAAAAGGACTCTTACTCGAAAACAAGCCAGCTGGCTTGCACGTGAAGGGTTTTCCATTTCTAGGGATTATAGTATAATGCACAGCTATACTGGGTTTTGTTAAAGAAGGAGAGAGATGAGCTGGAGAGTGCGGTCATCACAAAGAGCCGAAGTCAGAGGGTTTTGCACATCCTCTTTTTTTACGGCACCTTCCAGGATCTGCACAGTTCTGATCTGCTATATCCTGTTGGATCAAGCTTTGACATTGGAATCATAACATTGGAAGGGAAACGCAGAAAAAGTAATGATAAGTCATAGTTTTAATGAAAACCAAAGAGATAGCTTTCCAATAGGATTAAATGAAAATCAGACCTGAGATAAGAGGCAATTTTTTAACATAAAGTCTGTCCTGTGCAAGATACCATTTGTTTCTCTGGCTGTTTGGAAGGAGCAACATTCTGAATTCATGTACCATTTATACTATGGAAATAAAAGTAAAAGGTTTTTTTGTTCTGATACTAAATAAGGCAGGAAAATTGGGCATTGTCTTGATTTTAAGATTTCAGTTTGGAATGATTGTTGCAATGGGACAGAGAAGGAAAAACACAAAATAGTTCCCATTTAATGATATATATGCCTATTTAATGATATTATATACCTAGATATAGACCATGATAAGGAAGTGGTGGGTTTTTTAAAAGGCAATTTGTTAATGAAATTCTGATCTGTTGTAAGGGTACAACATTTGCTGGGGCAGGGTCTTCCTAAACTGTGTTTGGACTTTCTGTTATAAGAGGAATAAGTTGTTGAAGTGCTAGCATCATATTGAAAAGTTTCTTCTTTTCAGAAAATGTCAGGAGTAAAATGTCTCACGTTTCATTTTATTGCAGGATATCTGAACGTGCTTTCAAATAACCGTTGGCGTGAGCGCTGGTGCAGAGTGAAAGATAATAAACTCATTTTTCACAAGGACAGGACAGATCTAAAGACACATATCGTTTCTATCCCTCTCCGTGGTTGCGAAGTCATCCTGGGACTGGACTCAAAGCATCCCCTGACCTTCCGTCTGCTCCGAAATGGACAGGAGGTCGCTGTGCTCGAGGTGCAATGCTCACTAATGGCTATGACTTGTAGGAATGCCCACAAGCTAAATCAGAAAAGCACTTTGATAAAACCTTAACATTAAAAAAAAAAAATTGGAATAATATTCTTGCAGAGCTGGATAATAAATACTGGAAAGGAAAAAAGAAATACTGAGTTACAACCAAAGAGAGAAATGAGATTTGATGCAGTTCAGAAATCTTCTCAGTAAGATGCTTTTCTCTGCACTGACCTTTCCTTGACCTCCTCGTAAAATATCCCTGCTCCTTCTCTAGGCACACTTTTACATCAGAGATACAATTACTTTGGGTAAATAACTTGGCAATAATTAAATAATGGATCATTGTTAATGGGAACTCTAGAGCTCTTAACTCTAATTTGTCTGCTACTTACGTGAGCTCTTTTTGCTCAGTCTGTATTGGTATTAAGGGTAATTCTGAAGCAAGAAGATGCAGCATGCCAGCAACCTGCTGAGTCTCTTGAGAGTCTGCATGTGCAGACACTGTCGCAATCCTCACACTACGAAGGTCATACCTTCCTCTGTGTAAGGTGTGTCAGGATTATTGGTCCTTGCAACCAGCTCTGTTGCAAGTGAGCAGATCAGCAAAGTTGAAAAACCAGAAAGCAGCTCAAGGAACTGTGAAAGGCAATGAAATATTTAAAAAGAACAAGAAATTTAGAAACGGCAGTTTCCTTCCCCCACATTTTTCCATGATTTTTTCTGCTACTGTTTAGCTTTGCAATTGGTGACTTGAAAAAAAAATGAAAAAAAAAGAATTATTTTCATAGCATTCATATGAAAAATTAAAAATTATTTTAATAGTATTTGTGTACCATTAGGAAAATAAATGCCATCATCTAGACAAATTTATTGGCGTTTTAAATAAAACAACATTAAACTCTCTTCTGTTTCATTTCCTGCCCCCCTCCTCGTTTCTACTTAGCTCTGACATTTTCTTCTCAGGAGTCATGCTAACTAAAATACCCCAGACTAGCACAGGAAAATAGTTCTCTTATAGCTTTCAGTTTTCTGAAGTCTAAAATAAGCAGTCTTGAATCCAAATCCACAAGCCTTAAACAATTATTTTTTCTTCTTCTTTCTAGGAGATTGCCCGCTTTGTATTACATCATAACTGATGAGCACATAGCTTACTTTAAGTGCACTCCTTGTAGAAAGTCAGATTTAATATGAAACCCTGGGGTTTTTTTTTTTTTCAGCAGAGAGGAACCAGAGCGTCTCATGCGATGTGGTAGCAATTTGTCAGCCAAGAAGAATGCGCCTTTTTGCAATAATGCTCAGCTCAGTGGCAAAGACCTGACCTACGTTCTTGCCTTCTCCTCGCAGGCATCTTCCTCCGAAGACATGGGCAGATGGATAGGAATTCTGCTGGCAGAAACAGGTTCTTCGACAGACCCCGGAGCTCTGCACTACGACTACATCGATGTGGAAATGACGGCAAGCGTCATCCAGGCTGCAAAACAGACCTTCTGGTGAGAGGCATTGAGCTACCCGAGTGTTTCCAGCACTCTGAGAGTTTATATCCGTATATTAACTCCTGTGCCAAGACAGGATATCAAAATCCACCTCTCTCTTTGCCAAATACTGAACTCCTGAAGTGTTTCAGCATCGCAGCATGTTAGATGTGTTTATGATTATGGTGTTGGCATCCTGCTAAGTTCTGTAAAAGATGCAGACACTATCCAGCTTTACTCAAATCTTTACTTATTTTTTCAGTAAACCTCCTTATCAAATGCTATAATTTAATCTTTTATTTTTCCCAGAGACCATGCCTGGAAGAGGACAAATATGCTGAAATGTGCTGCTATGTAGTTCACATTTATCTGTTGGCTGTATCTGCCGTATATATAGCCAATATATACAGTATATACTGGCCAGTATATGTTCTACACTAAGTATGCATAGCAAGTCTAAGTCTTAGATAGTCATATTCTCAATGTTTCCCTCTCAAGTTCATTATGATTAATTAAAAATTCCATCAAGCTCACACCAGTCCAATTTCTGGGTTTTAATTTAGGAGGTGGAAATTGGGAAAGTGTCTGGGGCACAGCACGGAAACTCTGTTTAAATTGCAAATCAGTACAGTGAATTCCCTGTTACTGATGTTGTGCTAAGAAAAGTAATGCATAAATAGCATATGCTATTATATATAGTGATTTACATGTTCAAATCAATTTAGGCATTAAACAGGCTTTGGTGAGGAAAGACTGTAATTTTTCCTTGGCCAGATGAGATTTAGAAATGAGAGTGCAGGAACAGTTGGGACAGGTGGGACGTCCTGCTGCAGACGTTCCGCGTGGTTCCCTGTGTTCAGAGAGCGGGTGGCCTGAGAAGACAGCTGGCAAAGCCATCATCCCTCATCTCGCTGCAAAATGAGACCCCCCACACACACATTTGGAATTTGTGTGACTTGATACATTAGAGAATCACACCCCATCTGCCCATCATAACTTCTTTAAACAGACTGAAAATGCAGAAAAAAGAAAAAGAGGCTGAAGCTTCGGAGTTTTCCGGAAGAAGTTTCTCCTGCGAGGTGTTAAGAGAGCTTTAACAAGGGAAAATATACAGCTTCATTCAGGATCTGGTTCAAATGGCTTTTGATAGAAATCAAAGTGACTCAGTCTAACCACAAGCCTGGTTTTGTGAAAACCAGATAATTTTGATGGTATCAAAATGCACTTAGCTTATAGACTTATGTTAATATTTGTTTTGAAGTTAATAGGGCTCAAAAAGTTTATCCTGTGTTGACATGTGTTTTTGCTTCAGTCAGCATCTAGCAATAACCACATATAAGAAAGAAATAGAATGGAAACCTTTTCCCCCTGAATACTGTGTGGCTTTCCTTTTTTGAACAAATGTGATATTAATTGGAGCCAAGTGAAAAAACATATGCAACTAGACTGCATGTTAGAAAGGAATGGCAAACAACATGCAAAATAGAAGAATTTCCCTATTAAGAAGTAGTTAAAATTCATTGGGTGTCTTTAAAAAACTGTAAGGTCTTGTTGATAAGTAACTAGAGTAGCTGTGTGCTGATTTTCAACTGCTCCTAGAAAATGAGAAGAAATTGCAATGCTACGTAATAAAATACTATTGATGGCCTGTACAGAATGAATATCAGTATTCCAAATCAACTGCAGTTGTCATTAAAGGTTTGATTATTGCACAGTCACTTCAGGATTATTAGTTGTTTCCTAATACTGATGCTTTGCAAAACTGTCAGCTCTTTATTAATAATCTTGTAAATTTTTTTCATCTAAATCATTAGGTATCTAGGAAAGGCTGAAGAAAAAAAGGATGACCTTGTAGTGTAGGGTCAATGGTTGGACTTGATGATCCCGAGGGTCTTTTCCAACCTGAATTGTTCTGTGATTCTATGCTTCCAAGTAACTTTTCTCCCTTTCTTTTCCCATCTAGCAATTTCAGAATATAATTAAGTAGCACGGATGCATCTGTAAACAGGATTAATGAGGATTAGTGGAATAATGCTTATGAAATGTTTGCAGATACTTAGATAAATCTTAGCTTCCCTCGGTGGTGGAAATAGTTGCTACAGGTGCATCAGATGTAATTAAGGAGTATCCCAGTTTTCGGATATGGTTGTTATTATCTCTTTGAAGCTACTTAAATAGAAAAAAATACAATGATGACTCTAAATGCAGCCCTTTAGACTAACCAGGAACACCTGAGTAATACTCTTCATTAAGAGGAACAGTAAACAAACACTGCCTTTTAATAAATGTCTAATAAATTATGAGATACGATAAAGTTAAAAACATTTTCATCATGGAATTTATCTTGGGCGTTTTTGTTGCTTGTTTGTCTGATGTAAGAAAAACTTCTGTCTGCACTGACCTGAAAGGTTCACGCTGGACTGGGCAGGTCTGTCCCTCCTGTGAGCCCAGGTCTCCTGCAGCTCAGGTGAGCCACAACTGGGTGAGCTCTGCTGCCCTCTGAACGAGAAATTCAGTGGCCTCTGTTTTATTCTGAAGCCAAAAGAAAGCAACTGTTGAAACCACAGCATTCTTGAGCTCTGGCCAGCACTACAGAAGACCCTCTCTGCTTTAGGAGGGCTTTATCATATTTTATAAATGTCAGCAGAGAGTCTGAATAGTTCCATTGTTTGGGATGGAAAGCTTTGTTTTCCCATTCACATACACCTGAAGCTGTAGGAATTATTTGGCATCTCACTCTACACTTCACTCAATTTCAGCTGTTGTTACAAAGGAAAACTCATCCTTGGGGTCGTTATTGCTGTGGGGCATAATTGTTTCATTTTCTGCGATGTTAGATCTTTGCAAGCCCATTGTAGTCCATGATAACTTGCACGTGTTTTGCAGAACACCGATAAAACAAACTACAGTTTTGATTTGGGGAGAGGAAATCTATATCTATCTATCTATCTATCTATCCATCTATATCTTCCATTTAAAGTTTCCAGAGGACTCAGGTCCACCATGGAGACAGCAAGAGTGAGAATATAGAGAATTTGCATGCATGGTTATGCAGACAGAGGTGGGAAGCCTTGTGCCTTCATGCACGCTCTACCCAGCCAAAAGTTCTGATGTGGAAAAGAAGAATTCCCAGATTTTGAGGAAGTGATTGTTGAGTAAATTTTGATAGATATGTCGACTTAGGTTTCATTCAAGCTCCACTTCCTTTCACATTTTTGCTGGAGCTGATGCTTGTTTCTCCCAGTCCTTAAGTTCGCATCCCCCCCGAGCATGCACGCACCCAGAAACACCTGCTTCTCCCCGATGCAGACAACAAGGGAACTTTTATGGAACATTGGCAAGCTGGTTTATAACAGATCTGCAGGTTTCCATGTAAACATGCCACTGAGCAGTTACAGCTGTTGCCCTCCTGGCTTTTGCGCGGTTGTATCCCCGCTGTGAGAATGGAGTACAGGAACATACGTTGTAATATTAGCTGCCAGCAGCAACATGTGAGTAGCGAAAGAAGGAAAACTGCTGCAGAAAGTGAGAAGATATATGTTTCCAGGCTACATAATCAGATACAGGGAACATACCACTGAGTCATCATTTAGACTTAGGTTCGAGTGCTGTTTTTTATTATTTCTGTTTTGTTTTATTCAGCTTCATGAACAGGCGAGTTGTATCTACAAATCCGTATCGGGGAAGCACTGCCAATGGCTACGCCTGTCCGAGCGGAATGGCACTTCATTACGATGATGTTCCCTGCATAAATGGATCGGTAAGAATTGAATTTACACAGAACAAATAGTTTGCATGTGTTGAATGCATGGACATCTGAAAACTATATTACTGAAAAAGCCCCATGGGCAGTTTCCAAATGAACTCCTCTTTTTTTTTTTTTTTTGATTGGGAGCTGCAAATGTCTTTCACACCTACAGAGTATTAGGGGTGTGGGACATATTGTTTATATTAACTTGCACATGAGCCAACATGCGTTTAGAAAGCAGTTGCCTGTTGACGATTTGTTGCCAAGTTCCTGACTATAACACTCACTTGAGGGAGTATTGGTGTTTGTTGATCAAAAAAAGAAAATAAGAAAACCAAACACTTCTCAGTCTGTGAGGCTGCATTCCTTAGGACAGCAGGTGCTGCTCATCCCAAAGGACAACTACCGTGGTCACTTCCATCTTCATAAATTGCAGAGCTGATTGTAGGCAGATGTGTAACAGGGTTTAACACATAGTGGATGTTAACCTATGGCAATATATGGTCCTCAGGAAGATTTACAGGGGAGCTACAGCCTGTATCAGTTTTTAATTTGGGCTGCTTGGTTAAGGCTTCCACTAAGGCCGAACTCGGGAAATTCAGCGTTTCAGAGTGTGGACTGCAAATTCAGGCTTAGTAATGTCAGAAAGACAGTAGAAAGCCCCTCTTGGGAGCAACACACTGCCACATGTGTGGTGAGTAGTCTGTAAGTCTGTATGTGTAGTTCTTGGATGTGCTCATGCCTTTGTATGAGTAGTGTATGGCCACAGCCAGGATGGATTAAGGAAGGATATTTGGCAACCAGGTTAGTTTCTTGTAAGATTAATTGAATGAATCACTGGAGTATTGTTGTTGAGCTTTCCATTTTTCTGAAAAGGGGGGGGAAAAAAAAAAAAAGAGAATGGCCTGTAGCTATTTTATCTAGTTAGCTCAGAATAATAATTCTCCAGCAAATAAAATGTAATGCTAGCATACCAGCAGACATATAGCCTGAAGAAAGAAAGAAAGAAAGAAAGAAAGAAAAAAAACAAAGCAAAGCAAAAATAAACCCCATGGCGTCTTCTAACTGTTAGGCCCTATTACTTTTAACAACTCGTGTACCAGATGTAATCCCACAGATACACAGATTCATACATATAGTCTTTGAGTATCCTCCTGTTAACACAGTCTCCTTGTGCCCCCTCCTTGCTAGAGCTGGCAATTGAAGGTGCAGTCTGTGAAGCAGCAAAGGTGACAGGAGAGTACCCGTTTGCTCGCACTCTGGAAAATGCACAGGCTATGAGTCACGTCATGCAATGTTTCCTTTGCACACCGTCCTCCCCACCTTTCTAAATAGTTTGACTCAAGTGTAAGCAATAAGCACATGCTTGCTCAGCACCGAGGGCTTGCTACAGTCTAAACAATTTACTAATGTTTTAATTTCACTTAGGAGGTTCTGCATGATGTGTCATTTACTAACTGCCAAGGTGTGTGTGTTGCAGTGGGAACCAGAAGATGGCTTTCCTTGTTCTCGTAGCAGGAACACTGGAGAAGAAATGCTTTATGATAACGCAGGCCTGTACGATAACTTGCCGTCTCCAAAAATCTTTGCGCGCTATCCGCCAGCTGACAGAAAACCCAATAGGTTATCTACTGACAAACTCTGCTCTAATCATTACAAATACCCTGTCTCATCCAATCTGTCTTCTGCTCAGTCTGTCACTAATACCTCTGCTGTGGGGAGGGGATCTGGCTCGCAGGTACTGTACTATTTAATATTTAACAAAGCTTTTTATTTCTTGACTGCTCTTGTTTATCTGGCTGTTCTCTTGAGGGCCTTGGGCTATTTCAGTCCTTTAGTGTTGGCACTGAAGTACTTGGAGTGTAGTCATGTGCCCACTGCAAATGAACAGGTCTCCTAAGCTGTAAATTCTGATGTGGAAGTATTGGCACCTGGGAAAGGCTTTACTCACAAGTTCTTGATGATTTACAGATTTAGGATAATAACAAAAAAAAAGTAATAGCTGTGGCTTTCCAAACCTAACCTGAATACTTATCTTCTGTCTCCTTGGACAGTGAGGATTTCCAAAAAAAAAAAAACCAAACTGAAATATGACCTGTCTCTGACAGCAAATTTGCCTCTCTAGAATTTTGCTATTTTGTATATTTTATATACTGTGGTCATATATATTGCAAATATGCATATATATCATAACCTATATATACTAAATGATCTTGTGTATAGTGCATATATACCATATTTAAATTACTGCCTGTTTTTTTCTTCCTCTGGGAGGAATACCCTAAGCCTATGTCTATGCTGGTTTCTGAGGGTGGCCTCAGCCTTCTGGATCTCAGCTGAAATGTGAAGCTACAGAGCAGATGAAATCGTGTGTGCTCAGTCTCAGTAGCAGGAGTCAGATGCTGCCAGGGGAGCAGACCCAGCCTTGGTCACAGCCACTCCAGGGACCTTCTCCAGAGCCTGTGGCCAGTCTCTGAAAGCTGGTCCTTGGCATAAGCCTGTGAATGTCTCACAAAGATGGGTCGTTTTCAATCTAACCTGAAATGGAACAAGTAGATAAGTGTTTACTTTGCATGAGATACCTGTCACAAAACCTTCATACTGGAATATTAGAGTTCCAGGAAGTTGCAAAATGCGAGGTGGACGCGGGCAATAAATTGCCCTAATTCTTGGCTGCAGCATCGGGATTCTGGGCCCATTCCCACTCCAGTGCTCTGGTCAGCTTTTGGCAGCAGGTGACCAGACCACAGCACACGTACACCTTGTGCTCGGCTAAGGCATCCCCCGTGGGAACACTGCGATTAGTCCAGACTGTTGCTTTTCCCAGGGTTCGGTTCATTGCACGGGTGCCCTCTAAACTGAAACCCCTTCAACATGAAACATGCTATTTCTGGTAATCTTGTGAGCTTGTCTGGCTATTATCAGAATGTTTTTTAAGTAAAGCTTTTCATTAGTAGCTAGAGGTTGTATAAGAGGAGATTGATATGTTTACTCCTAACATTTAAAAATTTGTAATAATTACATTGTTTAAAAAATAAATCCATGCAGCACAAGGATGTTAAGGTTATGTAGTAAATAAGAGGGTGGTGTTGGGGTTTTCTATATGAAATTAACTCTGACAAACCTATGTTTTGAGAATCTTTACTGTGTAAAATTATTCAAAGGTACAATTTTTCTGCCTTGCAGTAGCTTGATTAATACAGTAAATGCCAGAATTTTAAATAACTTGGAGACGGTGATGCCACCGGGTATGGGGAGTTATCCCATGACTGTTTTTTTTTGAACAGGCAGCTCTCAGAGATGACTTCTCTGGAGCAGGCGCCATCTCCAACTCAATCAATGAGCTCTATTAAGGCTCTTTGAGCAGGCAGCCTCTTTGTCAAGCTTTGCCCTTGATCAAAGGGGACTGTAACGCCAGTGGCACAGGAATAGCGGGAGTCCATTTGTACTTTTGTTTTCAAACAGTTTAAAGGCAAGAAGCCTCCTGTGACTGCTAATGGGATCACTGGAAAAGGGAGAACTTTAAATAACCAGCCGAAGAAATCCGAATCAGTGTCATGTGTGAAGCGCACCGCGTCCAGTAAGTATCCTTCCTGACTTCTGCTTCACTTGTGTGTGGGGTCATGAGGATACCCAAAATAGCTGTCTTCTCAGCAAATAAGATAAAGAACCACTGTGGTTCTTCCGTGGCTGAGAGGCTGAGCAGGAAATGCCCACCGAAACTTTGAATAGGAGATATTGTGTGCATCGATGACTTAGTACTCCAGCCATGCCAAGAGATAAAAGGTTGTCATATGGAGAAAGCTAAATGTGAGATGTGGACCCATGGCTGCAAAGTCATGACATCAGCAGGGAAAAAAAAAAAAATAAGAATTCTTCATTTGGGGCAAAGAGTGATTCTGTATTCTTGTTGGAAGAGGAGGATGAGAGAAAGACATGAGGACATCATGGTGCTCAGAAGTGGACTTACTCTTATCACTAATGAAAAAGTGAAAGGTATAACAAAGCAATGAAGATTAGCACACAGCTCAAAATCTTCATCAGAGAGAGGAGATTTCAGTTGGTGAGTGGCACATTCAGAAGGAGGGTTCTTCTGGGCAGGTGGATTCCCTCTAGGAAATCCTTGAGAGGGATTGCCTTGTTTAAAGAAGCAAAGAAAACAAAAAGGTGGAATGGTATTTTTTAAATACAGAGTCAAAAGCATGGCTGCTTCTAGAGATGGAATGAATGGGGTTTTTCAATCCCGTGATATATTTTTAAGAAGTCATGGATTTAATGGCAACAAGAGAAATTTGGGTTAGACTTTAGGAAAAAAAGTATGCATCTTTCTAACCATGCAGATCAGTTGGTACTGGAATAGAGAATTGTGGGAGTAAAGGCATCTTGGTTATTAAAGATGGACTAAAACTGGTTTGGCATCTATTTGTCAGGAATGTTTTAGTGTCCCTGAGTTTGCTTTCAGATGTGCAGACAGACAACGTGATCTGTTAGCTGATCTCTTTGAGTCTACAGCTGCATCAGAGGTGTAGAGGTGGGCTGTGATATAGAATAGTCTACAGGCACATGTGAGGCATGACATGAAAGCACTTATTATATGTGAAAATAAAAAAAGGCTAAAAAAGCTCTGAAGTATCAAAAAAGTAAGAACATCTTTTATTCTCTTATGTCAGGGGAGAACAGACATGTGCTTTAAGCATTTGAAGGAGGAATGGAAATCAGGCAAAAGGGCAAACAGGCAGTTTTTCCTCTGACCCCTTCCAATTAAAAATCAAGGGTTCAGAGCTCAAGAGGAGCCTTCTCTCCTTCTTCTGAACTACATAGAAGATAGGTCCTTTTTCAAAACCAATGTACTATAAAGTAACTGGTATTTCTCATTTTTCCCGTATAAATGTAGAGAACAATCTACTTATCATTTCTGCAGCTCTGCTGCAGAACTCAGCGGAAATTTTGGAAGAGGGCTTTCTCAAACCATGGCATGCTTCATGTGATGTTCAGTCTAAGGGAATAGTGTAGAGTTTTACTGTTATTTTTAACCATACAATCCAATACATACAGATGCGGAGCAGTACAAATATGGCAAGAATCGTGTGGAGGCAGATGCAAAGAGATTACAAAGCAAAGAGGAGGAGCTGCTAAAGAGGAAAGAAGCACTTCGGAATAGACTGGCCCAGCTCCGAAAAGAAAGAAAAGATCTACGTGCTGCTATTGAAGTCAATGCTGGTATGTGGTGTGGTTTTGTTCTGAATTCTGCCCTGGGTAGGCTTAACTATCCAAATTGCTTTGTATTCCATGCTGAAGACATGACACTATATGAGATTTGGTTTTGATGTTAAACAAAAATCTGTAATGTCTATATTTGCTTTCTATATAGATATAAAAAATATAAAATATACAGTATATATGTGTAGATGTAGATACTTCATATTATATATACGTATTTTATATATGTGTATATATATGCAGATCTACACCTATGCAATTATATTGACCTTTAGAGATCTTATTCTGTAAAGAAAATAATTTCTGTAATTATTCTGTGTCAATTCAAGCTTCTTACTGAAGTAATAACATTGCTGTGGATAACAGGCAGGAAGACCCAAGTGATTCTTGAAGACAAGTTAAAGAAGTTGGAAGAGGAGTGTAAGCAGAAGGAGGCTGAGCGTGTAAACCTGGAGCTAGAACTGACAGAGGTGAAGGAGAGCCTTAAGAAAGCCTTGGCTGGTGGCATCACACTGGGTTTGGCTATTGAGCCCAAATCAGGAACATCAAGCCCGCAGGTATGCAAAGCCATTAAACACACAAATGCCAGTACCAGGGGCTGGGAGTGCTCTGCCTTCTCGGCTCCAGTGAAGTGCGTAGGAACTGAGAGTTTTTTGAGAGGTTTATTAAGGCTGAGAAATAACAGCAGAATTAAATGCCTTTCTGTGCTATTTGCATTCTTCACCTACGTCTGGTGTACATTCTCCAGCAACAGGGAGCAGGTAGGCACGGGAATCACAGGTGGTATGTGTTAGGATAACGTGCAAGAGCTGACACTTCTTGTCCTCAGTGACTGTAAAAGTGCATGAGCTGACACACTGCTCCATCCCACAGAGATTTAAATGCACCGAGTCATCATGCAGTGATGGAGATCTTGTGCCACTCCCCTGTCAGTCATTGTCACCCTTTGCAAAGGCTGCATCTCACAAGTTCATGGTGTAGTGTGGCAGTCCTGGCTTATGCCATAGCTCCCTGTGAGAAGCAGCCATCAGAAGGATCAGAGAGGGATGTGTCAGTTCCTCTGGATGACCCAATATTTTTTAATCACAGGCCACAAACTTTAATGTTAATCACAGAACACACTTTGTTTTCTTCTAACCTCTTTTTCATGTAGTCATCATTATAATGAATATGGTTTTTTTCAAAACAAAATCTGCAGTTCTAAGTCTAGATAGACAATATTGCTTATGTGACTACTTGGAGGTAACTCAGTGTAGGCTCTTTATTCTTCATTAGTCTCCGATTTTCAAGCATCGAACTTTGGAAAACTCTCCAATCTCTAGTTGTGATACCAGTGACACCGAATGCTCAATACCTGTGAACAGTGCAGCAGCTCTGAAGCGACCTCCCTCATCAAATAATTCACCATGTCGAGGCCATGTGCTTCGAAAAGCAAAGGTGAGCAGACTAATACCAAGTTTCCCTTCTCTATCCTTTTTCTTACTTGATTAAAAATCTCACTTGCTTGTGGAGAGATAGAAACAGAAAAGAAGAGCATGAAAAATAGGTATAGGTTCCTGCTGCTTCTCTGGGTGAAATTTAGCCTTAAGAAGTGAATGTGTAATATGTAAATTATTTGTAATACTGCTGATTTAGGGGAACCTTTTGTAGAAGAATTGGTAAGTAGTTTGGGAGACAGATTTGTCTCTCCTCTGTCATTCTGTTCTTTCCTCTGTTCATTTATAGCTGTAATTTGCAAGGTAAGTGGTCTTGGTGTAGACAGTGCACCTGAAATTCATAAAGTTACACTAATCTGTGTAGCAGAGAAGTGGTTAAAAAACCACTGTAACAGTAAGTGTTCAAAAACAACACAAAATTAAGCCTGATCTTTGCCAGCTGGTACAAGAACAGAATAGTAGTACATTATAATATTCAACAATATGTTGTAGAAGTATCTACTCTTTATATACACTTAAAGAACAAATAGAATTAATTTCATTTAGTCTTGCAAGTACTAGGCTGAAGTTTGCAGTCCTCTTGTATTGCTACAGTTTTCTAATTTTTGTACTTTAGTTTAAATGGGATTTGCATGACCATTCTCCTGGGCTAAATTTGCCAGCAACATAAGCATGTGGGCAGTATGTATCCCAAGTGTGACAGTAATAGCATTGGCCCAAGTAGTTAATTGCTAATTATAATTATAAACAATAATGATCATAGATATTTGTCTTTCATGCAGTCCATTTCTTTTTTTTTCAGAACAATGAAATATTCTGTATATGGAATTGTTTTAGGGGGCTTGTTAGCTCAGTCAGTTGAGCATGGCGCTAACAATGTAGAGATCATGGGTTCGTTTCCCGTTCGGTCCCCATGCGTTGCCTGATCTAGTTGAGAGGTGGCATCCCTGGCAACAGGGAGGCTGGATTAAAATGATCTCTAAGGTCCCTTCCAGCCTAGGGCATTCTATGATTCTATGATAATTTTATGTAACTTCTGTTACATCTTCTTTGATTATATCCATTTAAAGTGACTGAGCATGAGACTGGCACCGAAATGTAGTAGATACTGGAAAATCGTCATCTCAACAAATGATTTGGTTTTCTGGCACATCCTAATCTCTCCATTTCCTCTCCTGCAACTCCTTGAACTTCTCTACATTGCTCAGGCCCTGAGTTACTTCTCCTGCTATAACTTATGTGAGCGCTTTCTCACCCTTCTTCTACCACCATTTTCTCTGCCCTTTCCACAGACATCTACTGCTTTTTCTGCCAGTTAGCGTGATTCATCTAAATTCAACTAAGAGTAATTAAACAGACTTCATTTCTGTTTAAGACTGACGTTTGCTGCTTGTGTTTCAAACCTGAAAAAGGATTCACATGTTCTAAACCTTATCTGTGTATTCCACTTATATCCAATTTGTCTCATAAAGATATCATCCTTAACTATACAATTTACCTTAGATTTGCAGGCTAGCACAGTGCAGAGTGGGGGAAATGTGGTCTAGCAGAGCATGGCCTTTACAAAAGAGAGCATGGATTTGTGCTACACTCTGGACAGGCATGTTAAATCCAGCCATTTAATCTTTACAGCTTGAGAAACCAGGGCACTGTAAAAACCTAAACATTTTTGGTGTAAAGAACACCTTCCAGCTGTAGTTAATTTTTCATGCTCAGCATATATCATACAGCAAAACCCCTGCTGTGTTGTTTGTTATTGCTGTGCTTTGGATGGCATGATAGGTTGGTCAAGCTCTGTTGTAGAATGTTTTGGATGTAAGATTAGGCTAATTGAAAAGGATATGGAGCTACTAAGCATTTTTCCCTATCCTGGGAAAAAACTCAAAGTATCCAGTTCAGCTTTGACAGCTTTTTCCTAAAACCTCACGCACTAAATATGAAGGGTGAAATTTTGCTGAATTAGACAGTGCAACCCCAGCTGTTCTCAGCCCATTGGCAGGAGCCGCAGCCAAAGCCTGCCATCAGGTGTGCATCTGCAGCACACCCGCCTTTCGGGGGGACCGAACTGCACAGAGCAAGGGTAGAATTTGGCTTTCAGTTCTTTTGGCCTTTTGCAGTGACGGGTGAGCCCAGGCCTTAGAGCTGTGGCTAAGGAAAGGGCGTCACGTGTGCGTATCCCAGAGCAGAACCGCCTTGGCTCTCCACGCGTGGATGTCAGTGCAGTACGTGGGAGCGAAACTGATTTCACATCTATGCTTGCACTTGAATCTTCAGCAGCTGGCAAATCCCCCAACGCTACAAGGGAGTTGTATTGTTATAAATTGAGGGAATAAAACCCAGGAGCCGATTTAGAATTTAAGTGATTCATAAAATTTATTAAATTTAGCAAGCAGCTGAGTAAGCAAAACAGCGCTGGGCAGCGGGGAGCAGCTCTCGCCGAGGAGTGCTCATACCACAGCTGCACCCATGCATGGGCAGATACCTTGGTTATATGCAAAGAAAGTTACATATTCATTAGATGCTTTTAATATGCTCCTCCTCTTGACACCTGCGCAGTGCCTCCTGGTGGTCTTGGGCAGGGGTCTTCAGGAATGAAGGCCGTAGGTCTTCCTCACGATGAACTTTTACCTTGGTTCAAAAACTAGTTGCTCTCAGCACATTTCGTAAGATATCTTTGTCCTCGAATTCCACAGGGGCCTTTCATCACCAGATGGTCCTTGTTAGATACCTTTATCACTAGGTTCTTGTCAATTATTCTTGTTTTTATATACTCTTACAGTGAGTCCATCCTGCTAGTCTTTGGTTTTTGTGCAGCTGGTGCTAGACAGCTCCCCCTGGGTACAAGCCTGACCTTGGTGCTGGGGAAGACTATGTTTGCTTAACAGGATATTGTAGCCTAAACAACTTCATTTCTAGCACAGCATAAAATTTGATTAACAAATTCTATATGCCTTCTATAACAATATAAGCATTCAAAATGTCAGATTTTTTTTTCTTTTCTCCTCAATATGTATTTGAATGCACTGAATGCATCCCCTCTTGCTCTTTCCTTGCACAAGGGGTGCTGAGTCTGTCATATATGCATACATATATTCGGATTTTTTTAACTTCTCTGATTGTAACATATGCTGTTAATTATTTTTTTTTAGAAAGCAATAATGCATATTTTTAACAAGTCAGAAGGCATTTTAATAGCAATTTTGTTAATCTCTGCTTGGCTGGAAATGGAGCCTCTCTTAAGATGAGGAAAACAATATTTGTCTGTAGGATTCGCAGAGAAGTAAAATGGTCCAAATATCTTGGCTGTACAATGAAAGCAATTATTTAAACATTTCACATTTCAACATAATTTCTAAAACCAAATTGTTGTGTGTAGCAGGGAAACTGCAATGATTATTTCTGATTTCTTTTCAAAAGTGATGGGCTGGGTAATGTCAGCACCTTACATTTTGCTTATGCTCAGGGACTGGAGAAGAAAAGGAGCTGTCCCAGTTTCCAGCTCTCAGTCAGGCTGTCAATGTTGACTTAAACATTCTTTCATTGGTGTGATACCTGCTGAAGAAATGGAAACAAAGAAGAGGTTCCTTTTGCACCTGCAAAAGAAGCAACTACTTTCAAGGCTTACTTACTAAAAAAAATTTCCTCCCAGTTGCTTAGCCAAGGACTCCCTGTGGAGCTTTGGTAGCAAATACAAGGGAAATATACATTTAATAGTCCTTTGAAAAGTAATCTAGTTTTTACCAGTACTGTGGTTTAAGTTCATGTTTACCATAATTTAGAGTGTAAAACTGAATATTTAAAAAAATACTGTATTTTAATGAAAGCACCATTTAAATGAAGGAAAAAAGAAACCCACAATACTAAAAAAGATGAATTATTGCTTACCTGCTTTCAACAGATATTTTTGTTTTTATATTGCTAAAGCAGCCACCAACTGTGACCTTTACTGTTGCTTCACAGTTGTGTAGGAGGTGTCATGGTCATGCAGCTGTTTAGCCAAACTAATTGCAGCAGCAGAAAGAGATATTATTTACGTGCATAAGTAACGGGTTTCAGTCAGAGCTCTTAAATGTTGTGGAATGAGTGTTAAATTCAGGAATTCAGGTTGGGAGCCAAGTCAGCAGGCTGCATGCAGAGTCCCTCTGTGGAGTCGCGGGGGGGGAGAAGCCCCCTTAGCCCCAGCCCCTGGCTGGGAACAGCTGGGCGGCTGCGCCCCGGCAGTCACTTCGGCAAGAGGCCAAAGATCCTTCGGATCTTCAGTAGTTCCTGGCCACTATAAGGGTGGGATTCAGGGAGTAGGGACAGTGGATGTCCTAAGCCAAGCCCATGCCTCTTCAGCTCTTCTGCTGCTACGTAGGCATCACTCAGTAGACAAGAGTGTGATTTCGCTGTGTATTTAGCCATAGCAATCTCATGATTTTTACTTCTCTGGCAGAAGAAATAGCAATACCTTGCTTTGAGACCTATGGATGAAAGCATTACAGAGTACATGCTTTGTTGCAGATGGTTGGTGTCATTGTCCACAGCTAATGGGTGGGGAAACTGGTGCACAGAAAGGCAAAGTGATTTCTTTAAATTGCCGAGCAAGAGCTCAACTTGGATTATGTGTACAAGAAACACATGCAATGTAAATAACCTTGGTGTTCTTCATCCTGCCTCTAAGTCTGTCTGCCTCAGTAAGTTGTCCTTTTTAGCCATAGAAATGGGTATCTGCCATGGCTTTTTAGAATTAAAAAACTGAAGAGTAGTAGAGCAATCACTTGATGCCAGCTATGAGAGGCATTGAGTGCTTCCTGTTACCTCATGCAAGTAAGCTAGAAAGTCCTCTAGGCTCCACCTGCCTCTCCCTTATTCAGCTCCAGCTGAGCACTTCACATCAACTGTGGTGTGCAAATTTGCTCATTTTGCAGAAAACAAACATGTATTACTGGCACTGCACTAGGGAATAAAAGTTGCAGTATATAGTTGCACAGGGGTGGATGCTGCGCACAGACACTATCAGGGCATACTTGGTACCATTCCCTAACTAATTTGTGGGGAGAAGGCTGGATCCAATGAAGTTAATGGAAAAACTGTTACTGACATCAGCTGGCTTTGGCTCAGCAGATCTGCTGACATCAGTGAAATATCCTGATTTCTCTAACATTTTCCATATCTTTTTATTCTCCCCCCCTCCAGGAATGGGAGATGAAGAATGGAACATAAATATAGCAAAACCACTCACTTTCCATAAAGGCCTTACTTATTACGGATTAAGACATAGGCTGCAAAAGACTCATCTGAAAGGTGGTATCAAGCGATACAACATAAGAGGTTTTATAATTCTGTTAACTTAATGGTAGCTTGGCGCTAATTTGTCTGTATTCCCTCTTCTGTATTGCTGTGTAACTTCATGTGCCCCTTTTTGTTAGCTGTAACTCTTTATTTCCGACTTCACTGGTAAAGAATATGAACATCGAAAAAAACCCAAACCAACTGTAGTAATTAAAAAGGAGCATAAAGCCGCAGCTGAAATTATACTTTGCTGAAGCAGCGTAGACCAGCAGTGTTAATTATATCGCATCAGACAGCCTGAACACCACTGGAGACTGATGCGTTAAGACCGATGTGAAATCATAACTCTTAAAGACTGACTTTCATGGTCTTCCACGGAGGTGGCTGAGCAAAGTCTTGCTTGTTAGCAGTCGCTTTGCTGTTAGCTGTTCCTGTGGCAGAAGAGAACGTAAGAAATATGTTCACAGAAATGGCACGGCTGGCTTGGCCAGGAAGCCAGGAGCTCTTCAGTGCTGCTGTCCTCGACGCTGGTGCCAGACTGTGGGATGACACAACTCAGTTGTGAAGCATTTTTTTTGGATGCTTTCTAAACAGATGCTTTTGTCATTGGGAGATAAAAAGCTGCCATACTTCAAAAAAAAAAATAAATGCATTTTCGTATGTTCTCTTTATTACTAATCTGAAGCACCAGTCATTTTCAAAGGTCATGTTGCTAAACTATGACTTGTTCCAGATTTTTTTAAAAGGCAAACAAGTATTTTTAGATACTGCTTTTTTTCTATGCTTTTTGAAAAAGAAAAAATAATTGAAATTAATCCTCAACAGATAATGGCAACTCAGACCAGCTTATGCAGTCAGTCTGGTTTTGGCTTTTATAATATAATATTGTTAAACTTGAGTTATAGAACACTGCTGTACTTAGTTTCCTTTGTCTTTTCAGACATCAGCTATTATTTTTGAGGAAGATGGACTTAAAAGATAATTTCCAGATCTTTTATAAACAATTTTAGAAAGAACTGGGGATTTTCTCAGACAGGAGTCTATTTCTGTTTAGTAGGAAATGGCATCTTGCGTTTTAGTCTGTAAATTTATAGAAATATGTTCTTCGTCTCCATCCATATCACTCTTGAGAAATTATATGTTGTAAATTGCCAGCTGAAGTCCTTAAAAATCTCAAGATTTGCTTCAAAAAGTCAGGAGAGAGAGAGAAAACCCGCCATATAATGAGCTGAGTTCTTTTAATTTTTTTTTCTGCTTTTTTTTTTAAGCTCTTGGAGAGCCTTCAATCACATTCTCAAGACTTTTTCTCCTTGACTGTGAGGACTAGAAAATTACTTTAATTAAAAAAATTAAAACAGTACTCATATTTTGAGATAATCACAGATGTTAGGGCTGGAGTCTTGATAATTAGTTAAGACTTGCAGTTAAAACCACAGAAGTTGGCAAGACAGCAGTTATCAAGGATCACATCCCTTTATGACCCACATTATTAGTTTGTCTCTTTAGGAGTGGGTGTCAGTGTGGTTTTCACTGAAAATGAGATTCCTTATATTATTTTAGGTCATCTGCTTACTTATTCACTCTGTAAGCAGAGGGCACCTTCTGTGCTGTATGACTATGGACTGAATAGAATCAAGTTCCCTTAAATATTAGCAGAAACAAATTTGAAGCAAAAGTAAGTTCATTTAGGCTTCTTATTTCAAATTAAGTTATTTATTTGTATATTTCAATAAATATTTAATTTATATCTGTACATATTTATGATGCAAATTAGGCTTCTAGTCAACATTTGCAATGATGTAACAGTTGCCATTAAGAAGTGGTCCCGCATCAAGTAACGCAGAGTAGTCAAAAGCCAAATCACTTGTCTTGTTCACCCAATATTGGCACTGTATCTTCCACCACTCCCCCATATCCTGCGGGGGAAAAAATAAATCCTTGGCAAGGACATATTTTAATCCATGTGCAAATTTCTGCTCAAGCAAACAGAAATGGTGCCAGGCCGGGGCTGGGGTTGTGTGCATGGCCCCAGCACTGCAGCCTTCCGCTCTGCCATAGGTGGCCCTATCGTGCCTACAGTGCCCTGGAACCTATGTAGCACCCTTGGCACATATAGCACCCGCTGTGGCAGGGGCTGGCGGTAAAATTAAACATCTTCTTCCCTTCCTTCAACAAAGGCTCCATAAAGCCACCTCCACGCCCTAGCCCTCAACCCAACACGTACTGTAATTGTGTGTCTCTAAGGTCTAAGTGCGTTGGTACCATCTCAGTTTGCGTTAGTGATATGTCCGTTCTGTACACTGGCCAAGGGTTTGAAAGATGAAAACAAACAAAAAAACATCAACCCTTGGGAAATAACCTCTCTATAGACTACATTCGGTGCTGTGAAATGTACTCTGTTTTCTTGAATAGTGCTATTGCTGCACAATGTTTTTATAAAAAGCAACAGAGCTTATATTTTCACTGTTTTATTCAATTTCAGGATCACCAGGCAAAGTCAGCAATAGAGCGGCATGGCTTTTGTTTTAAAGGAAAACTCTTATATTTTAAACCATTTCTATGTCTTTTAAGAAAATGTTATGCTTGTGCTTCCTCAACAAACTCCTGTTACTGTACCAGGTGCTTTTTTATTGCTTTTTATGGATGATGCTTTTTTTTAAAAAAAAAACATCAAAAAAACAGATCATAACTTTGGGGATCAAAGGTGTTTTTTTAATGAGATGATTGTGGCAATTTGATTTTTCAAATTTAAATTTTTGTTAAAGACACTTTCCAATTAATTGGCCCAGGCTGTATGTTGTAAGATAATGTTCTCATATTAAGAATGTAATTATTTCCTTATTGTATTTTTTAAAAAACAAAATCATATTTAAAAAAAAAATCTCTGTGAAAAAAAGCATGAAAGAAACATGAAAATTTTTTGGTTTATTTTTGTTATTGGATATGTTGGCAGTGCCCATTATAATTGACTGTAAATATAGTCTTTCTACTGTATTCCTCACTGTATTTAAGTTTTTTGACACACATTCATGGAAACTTCTGTAAAAACAAAAACAAAAAAAAAAACAGTCCATAATACACTCACCTTCAACTGCGTGTCTTAGTAGCTTCAACTAACTTTACGCCTTTCTAGTTTATTCCCCAGAAAGTCCTGCAGAGTGTGAAAAAAGACTGGCACCTGGTAGGTGCGACAGAGCCAAGACCATTATTAATAAAGTTACCTGTCAAAAAAGAAGTATTTGTGGTCGTTTTTCTTGGTATTTGTCAATATGTTGGTGGCATCTTAGAGAAGGACACCCACAACAGCCATTCTCAGTCAAGTACCATTCTCTCCTACCAGTCTGTTGAAAAAAGCTTGGACAGGTTATAATTACTCTATTTTTGGTATCAGTTCTGTCCCCATTTAACTGTGCCATGACGTGAATGTAATCTGTCCAAGGGCTCATCCAGCAATGGAAAATGGAACCTCAATGTATTTAGCGCTCATAGCAGAAGTTACTGCTAATCTAGCGTTACTGTATCAGTTTGCTTACATGTCAGGCCCATTAATATATAACGTAAAATGTAAAACATTAAAAAATACCCCTAAGAAGTTAAAGTGGATCAAAATCAAACTGAGCTAATTCTCAGGGTGCTTAACGATGAACGTAGTAATGCTTTATAGAAGCCTGACAGACGAGATTGAAAAGTGATAAGCCATAATTGCTTCCTGTTGCTTTTCTTAGATATAGCTCTTGCTCCAATTACACTAAAATTATCACCAAATGTAAGTAGAAAATACATTTTACTTTAGCAAACTCAGGGAAGCAGTATTATGAAGTAGTTTAATTGGTTTCTTTTCTCTACTCACAGCCTCCTTCACCTCAGGAGAAAAAGGTAGTCAGCATGTGTAGAACACATACAAGAATTGTCTTGCAGGTAGACATAGGGTTTTTTGTCTATTTAATCAAAGCTTATAACCCTTCATTGCCTTTGCTCAATTAAAAAGCTTTCAAAAGCAAAGCAAATTGTTAGTACTTCTCTAGAGATGAAAGAATGTCTGTTGAAAAGATATATATAGAACAAGTGATGAAAATGTTATATGTAAAATACATATGTTTATATTAATTTTACTATATATGTTATTATATAGCATAATAGTAAATATGTAAAAATTAGAAAATTAATACCTGAAGTTACTCAGGCTCATGGCCTAAAAAGGCTTAAAGATCTTAATGATTTTCTATAAGCTACCTTTAATATCTGGTCTAGCCAGTTGCATCCCAAAAGCATTCACTATGAATAACCCCACCAGCAATCAACTTCCTCCATTGTGGTTTATTCCTGCAGATGGTCAGGAATTGTATCATTGCAGTACCATGTGAAGTTGCAGCATCATTTTAAGTTCTTTTTTATATTATACTACTAATTTGTGCACAAGTTGAGCACCATCAGACCCCTCATTAAGTACTTAAGCCTAGAGCTTTATAAAGAAGGGCTCCTAGCTAGAGAACAAATGATGGCAAATGTGACACCATTCCCAACGGAAAGGGAAAAAATAAGGAGAAAAGGAAAAGGCCCAATAGGATAATTAACTGTTTACACAAACAAAAGTATAGGGCATAAATTCTCTACTTCTACTGGCCTTGGCCTTTCCAGTCAGCTTTGAGAACACACAGGGTTGGGGTCTGAGCCTTACACATATCAAAATATTCATAAATAATTTGGGAAAAAATATGAAAAAACCACTGTTACTAATATATTCAGGATAGTAACACTAAAAGCCAGCTGCAAGGATTTGCAGAAATATTTTTCACAGCTTCACTAGTAATTAAAACGTCAGAAGAGAGTCATGTAGAGAAATAGAGAAAGAGCTGCCCATGCTAAGAAAAGAACAACTCCCCCCAAAAAAAACAATCCAGATAATTATAAGTGCCGAAATAGCACTACACCCAAGATGATCATGGAGTTTTAATAATTAAGTCCATGTACTGCATATAACAATAATTAGGGGAAAAAATAAAACCTGAAAACCAAAACCACAACACAAAACCTCCGGCAAATATTCTGTAGCCTAAAATGCATCAAGTAGCTCTAGACCTTGGCTGACTTGCACAACTTGAGCAAACAAATGGTAAAAAAAAGATGACCACTCACCTAGCATCTCTGATAACCTCATTATCTGATTTAGGACTTACAGAACATTATCCAAAGTCTGGGCTCTAACTGTCTGTGGCAGGTATTTCCTCCCCCCAGCTAAGCTGTTGCTAGGCAGATTCCAGGGACCCTGCCTACCTGGGCTAGTCCAGAAACCTGAGCCAGTCAGGACTCGGTTACACCCAGGAAGTTGGCCAGCAGCCAATGAGAAGCCGAGATGGCTATGATTGACCACAGTCATCATTGGCTAGTTTTTAAA